TGTACTTCAAGAAACCGCGCAGAATCAGAAAAGTCCAAACTGCGAGCGCCCCTCCAAACAGTTTCGCTTGAACGCAGCAAATAAAAACAATTAACTGCGCCCACTTGATCGCTGTGGGCCGAAGAACCTTGTTCATATCTTCCTCACAATCGCATGATAGTCATCGAGATCATCATCCTGGCCGCAGTCATCCCAGACAGGTCGGTGTCGACGGCTCATCACGTCGATTTCATCATTGTTTGTGTGGCCTGTGATGGCAGAGCCCGTGTCTCTGCGTGGACCGGCATCGGGCTGCCCACGATTGGCTTCGGATTCACCTTCAGGCACGGGCCACAGAGCCAGCTCTGCAACATGACCTTTGGATGGCTTCCTTCGCGCAAGCATAGGCTTGGAGACGTGACTCTTCTCCTCCGCAAAGTCCATTGTAAGCACTGGTGAGTCTGGCGCGTCTTCCGGTTGTGTGCTTTGCCGTTCAAGACGTGCCTCAGATGCCGACCCCGGCTGCTGTTTCCGTCTCCGTCGCGCAATGATACCAGATAGGCCGAATCGTTGTAGATCTTCGTCTTCTCGAGAGGTAGACTTGTTACGCTCAGTTCCCCGTTCTGTGCGCCGTCTGATCCGGTCCACATGGACTGGGTCAACTTGTGTTCCGGCCTGCGGGATCATGTTGAGGTAGATCGCGAACAGCATTCCAAAGGCAGCAACAGCCAGCGGGACGCAGTACGAGTAACGTGTGCCGGAACCATTTGCAACCGCCCATTGGACAGGTGGAAAGATAGCTCCACCAGATATTGCAGCCGTCATAAGCGCCGACCCGGCCTTTGTATGCCTCCCAAGGCCACGCATTGCGACAGCAAAGATGATGGAGAAAATGCCGGCCTCGAAGAAGAAGGTGAGCATCGCAATGGCGGCCCCGGCGTCTCCATCCAGGCGCATGCTAAGAGCCAGGCAGACGATGAGGCCCGTGTAGAGACCCAGCAGAATCCATCTGGGCTTTAGTACGTAGTTGAGAAAAGCGGCCACAAAACGTCCAACTGCAAATACTGTGTGGCCCACGGTTGAGAAGTCGAATGGACGGAGACTTGAGGCTGGCTTAACAGTTGTGATCAGCCTCTGTATATTGTTTCCGACACATTCCTGCGCTCCAACATAGCACCACTGGCTGAAGACGGCGAGCCCGAGCGTCACATAGATCACCTTCCAAGGACCGAGTTTGGCAGCATACACCAAATGACGTTGGCCGGCGAGCTCCTCCAACTGTTCGTCGGAGGCCTCAGGAAGCGGTATATAGTAGAAGACAACGGCCAATGCGAAGACGAACAAAGCGATGCCTAGATACGTCCATTGCACATCCACTAGAGAGGGGGCATTATTCACGCTCCTGAATAGAACTTTTGTGGCCAGAAGCGGCGAACAGACTGTACCGATGGCCTGAAAGGCCTGCGAAAGATTCAGCCTGACCTCCGCATACTCAAGCGGTCCGCAGAGAGCGATGTACGGATTGGCTGCGACTTCCAAGCACGAAAGGCCGAATCCAACAATGCAGTTGGATACAATAAATGCTGAATATGAAAGCAAGACTGCCGATGGCCAGAACACCAATGTTCCGCACCCGTAGACGGCCAGGCCCGCAATCATAATTGCTTTGAAACCATATCGGCGAAAGATGTAGTGACCCAGGGTCAAAGGCCCCGCGAAATAGCCGCCGAAGTATGCCGCATGAAGACCCAGGGCCTTGCTGGTAGAGATTTTAGCCAGAGACTGAAACTGTGAGTTGAGGGTGTCCAGGAGCCCGTAGGCGAACCCCCACAAGAAAAAGATGACCGTGACCACTGCGATCGGCCAAGCGCTCTGTCGATTGGAAAGTTTCAACATGTTGCGTTTCCCCGACATCTTTACAAATCCAAAATTTGAAACGGCACTCTTGTCCGTCACGCTTCGTGTGAGTGTTGCAGTGTTTGCTAACGAAGGTCCAGCGAGTTCACCCGCATTTGGCTCGGCCAAAAAATTGAGGAATCCCATCTTGCCACCATCCTCCTCTCCTGAGTATTCCTTGACAACGGGTTTTCTGAACGCAGCCGGGTTGTTGAGCATTGACACATTGCCTCTGGGCAAATCCGTTGGTCGGCCACTTTCCTTTGATTTTCCCAGGTCAATACTATTGCTGGACGTCATCTCGTCCCCGACATCTCTGATGAAGCTTGGTAAAAAGCGGGCAAATAGAGGCTTCAGGCTGGGTACGCAAGCGCAGATGATGCCGACGCAGACTTCGACAGCCGACCACATGAAGCTCAGACTTGCATACCAAGAGAAATCATTGTCTTCAACAATGCGACTTGGATTCCCGCCCGTACCGTCGACGACTTTTAGTCGGTTGAGCGAAGCTTCCTGCAGGTATGCAATGCGAACAACGTCGACGACTGCGACGAAGGCACCAAAGGAGAAAGTTGCAACCAGGATAATCTTTTGCTTCCGTGGCAATCGCATTCCCGTCAGGATTGGCATTGGCAGCAACAAAATGGCAATATCCGTGATGATGTTGAGAGGTGCTGAAGAGAGGTACAGTGTGACGATATCGGTGCACGTGGCATTTTCGGGTTGAGGGTACAGATAGCCTGCTGCCACTGGCGAACACTGGAATATGTTGAAAAAGGTGAGAGCGGTTCCGGCAATGTTGACCACAGCAAGAGTCAACCAGTTGCACCATTTGAAGACAGGATCGACATCCTTGCTCATCACCGACAGGAAGAAGACGATGATGGACGTTTTGGTCAGCATGAGAGATGGGTTGTAGAGGATGGCAAAGGCATACTCGGCCTTCCGTAGAGCGCTGAAGTCGTCATCGGGGATGTCTTGCTTGTGTTTACCCAGCCCATACCTCACCGCCACGCATATCGATGTCGAAAATCCCACGGCAAAGATCCATGCTGCTAGAATCCACCAGTCATCTTGTTTGATAGATCTGACCAGCCAGGCCCGAGTGTAGAAGCGAGCCGCGACGAAAACCGTGGCCAGAACCGTCACCACTATGGGGACGGCCGAAGTGGCTGGGCCTCTGTCTGGGGCCATGAGCATTGCAGCACTTGCCGTTCCTCCACACAATCGATCGATGCTCGCTGCGGTTTCTGCGGACGGGTTTTATTGAACCCCGTCATGTTCGCTGGAAAGCCCCTCCAAGCACAGTGATTCCCCGCGATATTGTCAACATCTGCGTCGAGTCGAGAGGCAGGGCGGACAATTGTCACAACGGTAAAAGACGTGGTAGAAAAGAGTGTAGCAAGTAAGGTAAGGTCTTTAGCTGATGCAATTCGGCACTTGCAGATCATGGCCTCGTAACTGCGCCTCATCTCCGCCAGGGAAAGGAGATGGGAAGCTGCCAAAGGCATTTCGCCGTTGGTTCTCTTCATGGTGGGAAAGGGGCGAGAGAATGACCGACACCGGCATCGATTGGGGCGTCCGCCAGTTCCCTTGCCGAAACGCTAACATGTTAAGAGTAAAGGGTAGGCCAAAGGGAAGACGTCTGGGGATCTCGATCGGTTGGCGTTTCTTCGCGCTCTCATCCGTTTGGTGGATGGAGGTTGGCACAAGAGGAATAAGGCAGACGATGAGCGACGGAGCTGCTGAACTGTGGGGAAGTCCCCTCTGCGGCCTGGATTTTCATTACATACTCTGTTCTGGACATGCGGGACGAGTATTTAGGCAATTTACCTAGGCAGTACGTAGGTAGTCCAGGTGTACTCGTAGTTGAAGCTGAGGGATGAAGGCAAGGCGGTGAGTTTCCCTCGCGTGCCTCCCAGCGTCATCGTTTCAGGGATCCCCGGGTTGGTCAGCAGCCTACTCCATCCATACTCATAAGCGAGCCTCACGAACCCCCAACGGCCCCTATTTCTCCGGGCGTGGAGAAATTCGGCTTGGTTCTTAAGCCTCGGGCTCAGTTGCTTCTCTTGGTGCAAGGCCTAGTGAGCCCAGGCCTCGAAAGCCTTTACAGGCGAAACAAGTTACCGCATGTATTATCCGGGATGAGAATTGGTCTCATTATTGAATGCGCCCATTGTCTAATAGTAGGACCACTCAGAATCACTCTGTGAAGCAACTCTGTAGGTCTGGTGCCGTAACCTCCGCCTTCCTAACAACACATGTGTCGCTGTCTACCATTGATCTATATACGCATCTCCTCAGCCACCAGCATCTCGTTGGTGCTTCAGCCTCTTTTACAAGGATGAAACCAAGGGCCACGGTCCTCGTAGGCGACGCCAACGTCATTGAGGGCGGACATTGTAACTGTTGTAGCAATAGCGGCAAAGCTTCGAGCCCCAGATATTGCCAGGTACAGCGATGTCAGACTGTCCAAGGATCCCACCGTGGGTCATAGCCCAACCTCAACCGCAAGTTCTTCAATTTCGGCGTCATACAGGCCAAAGCCTTGCCAGACGCGTGCGCCACAAAGCTTTGATTTGGCCCCACTGAACACGCAGAGGTAACACTTTGACTTGAAGGCATCGGTGAAGGCATCGGCCTCCTTTTGGTTGTTCGTCCCAATAGCGGCATTTTCCTTACTCATTGTCTAATCTTCGATTTATCCATTAGTGGTAACAACCAGGGACACTTCCTCCAGAAGCGGTTGGCATTGGGAATGGTAGATTCCATCTCCGACAGGGTCGTTGTCCAGAAGATAGTCGAGTTTGTCCACCAGTAGCACGCACAACTCCAGCACGATCTGGTCTGTCTGTTGGCCACGATCTCTGGCTCCCGATTGTCTAGGAACAGTCTGCATATGCGTTTTGTGGAATTGTCTTCGCTTTGCTTCAAGCGAAGGCGGAGCTTCCTCCAGCTTCTAGAGGGAATCGACGAGACTCTTGAGGAACGAAAGCGAACCTCAAGGAGCTCTTCCTGTACCGCGAGTATTAGGGGTATTCTGCTACTGAGGGCAAATTGGTGCGCGCACACTTGCGCAAGGGAGAGACTTCTTCCGAACAAACAGCAATTGTCAGGCACCGTACCTATTCTCGTTTTTGGCCATCCTTCAGCTTGTGCAGGGCGGCCGAGCCTCGATAGTTCTCGAGCACACTTTCGTTCTCAGTCCGCGGCGTGCCAGTCTCTTCCTTCTGCTCTGTACCCAATGGCCGTGCTTTGTTCTCGTTTAGAAACTTCGTCTCTTGTTTGGCATCGGCTCTCGCATCTCTGAAAAGCTCGTAGCCTGATGTGCCTTGCACGGGATCCATCATACCGTGTCTGCGCAAGCTTTCTCGTCGCATGTCAAGTTGCCCGCCGTCGGCTTCTCGATGGAGCTTCGCGTTCCGTTTCGCGGCCCGTATCGAGGTGACTGCATAGGTATAGAGGAGGCCAGCCATGACTACGGCTGCAATAGGCGCAGTCATAGCCTAAAGGGCAGGGATCAGCTTGGGACGACAGAAGAGCTAATCACACGAGCTGAAGCGGACAAACGTACACGCGGGTTCCAAGAGGAGCCCTTTGGTTTCACGATACGAGCCATTATGCCCGAGTTGTTCAAGACGATAGGATGACTAGAGAGCTGGAATCAAGATGTAGAGTCCAGAATGCGAGAACGAGAAGCTGTGAACAAAGGAATCCTTGACTCGGGAGTGTTGTGCATGATTGGGCAAGTCCAATATTTGGCGAGGGATCATTCTCCGCATTTCACATGCTCACACCACCCGACACACACTATACCAAGTATGAATGCCAGTCCCACTACAAGTACCTCAGCAAGGAGAGAGGTTTACATCAGCATCTGGGGGAATTTGCCATGGATGGCAAATCTCTGACTGATTACGGACGGCGCTGAGCAGGTGTCCCAAACCGTGTGTTTGTTATTGTCCGAAGAGGGGAGGGGGCCGGGGCACCCGTGGACAGTACTAGACTTGTAACTCTGACCTATGCCTCCTTGTATTCAAGACCTAGTACTGATACAAGTAATTGCTGGATGACACAAGCACTTCTACTTGCAACTACTTGTACTTGGCATATTCTTGTGCAAGTCCAAGTATACAAGTATATCGCCTGTGGAATGCGCATTCTTCGCAATATTCACTCTTTGACGACATTCATTTCTTCTCATCTTCCAGTGGCTTCTGCACGCGATCAATATCGCGCATCACGCCGTCCCCTTCGGCTGGAGAGGCAGATTTGCAATTCCGAAAGATGATTCCGCGATCGCGGTCCGGCTCACTTCGCGCCGAACGTGGCCCTCTCGCCTTCCTCTTCCAAGTCTGATAATCCTCCGTCAAACACAACTACCGAGTACGGGTAACCTCGACTCCAAACTGCGCACACAGAGCGATAAGAACCCCCCTTCTCCTTGATGCGGACATCAACGGAGCAGGAGCCGTGTTGCATCGAAGCAAAAAGAGGCAGGAGAAATACAAGTAGTGCGTGGGTAGCGAATCTTTGGAAACAGAGTGGACAAGGAGCAAAAGAGCAGGGATCTGACGTGGGAGGCTTTGCTGACCTCATCGGCGCGCATCATCTACTTGGACCAACGGTAAAGGATCGAATCACCATCTCAGCAGCGGATCAGCTAGGAAGCTCAGAGGCACTCTATCGACAAATCATGGCAAATCGCAGTCTGGCCCGGCATGCCAGGCACCACAGTCCCTACCGTTCCAGGTCATTGATTGCCTGGGCCTGCTGGACCTGACACCCCAAAAGGACACGGCCACTCGTTCCGTCGCGTGATTCCTTCCTCTTTACTCGTAGAAGAGAGTCGAAGTCGCCTGCTGCTACTCTACCAAAATCTACTACTTGTACTTAGGCTCTTTTTGAGGGACAAACTCCGTCTGCACGAATAGGCGTCTTTGCTGTGAACCGAGCACGAAAACGGGCACAACTGTCGAGATCTTTATTGTGGCTGTGTCCCATCGCTTTTTGTCAGTGTTGGGCAGGCACCTCATATCATCACTTTAAGACTTGTCGCCTCCCACAATAACTTTCACGATCTTCTCCCCAGACTTCAGTTTCGTCATCCACCCTGACAATCTACAACTCTTCAACCTTCCTAAAAACCTGATTGATACACCGAACACTCTTGATTTCGCCCTGCTCTCTTCCGACGCAATTAGATCCTTATCTCGTCCCTTTATCAATACCTGTCTCTCGATATTGACTGTACTACGATATCAGTTCTCCAAAGGGCATTCTCCCAGGCAACCATTTTCTGCGACGACAACCCGTACCCAACTTCCCTCCCTCCATATCGTACGAGCCTGTTCTGTCAACAACTTATCCAACACCCGCTCTATCTTCCAGAACTGCCGAACCCCACCCTTCTCCAATTGCGGCGAGGTAACCCGAGTGCCCGAGGCAGTCGAAAGGTAACGGAAGTCAGCCACCATGACATCCTTAATCTTTGGCTCTATTTGGCTGGGCCACAAGGGCATCGTGCAGCACCGGCGAGAAAAGCAGCGGCAGAAAAACTATGAACGATGGGAAGGCCTCCGTGACGAGTATGATGAGCAGCGAAAGATAAGCAGGGAATCAAGATCTCTCGATATACAACGCACAGGGTCAGTGGTGGATTACGACAAACCCATCTTGACTCTGCGCGACCAACAAGAAGCAAACGACGCACGGACGAGCTGGCGCCCCCAAGAAGCATGGGATGACATTCCGGAGAGGCGAACCAGCGTTGAAGTGACGTCTGGCACAGGCCTGAGACCGCTACCATCTCATAAAACGGGGAGCACTTGGGATGAAGGGCTGCCGCAACCCTTGAGAGTGAGCCGGCGCAACTGGGACGACTATGTGCCACCGATAAGCAGAAGCAGCAGTCTCAGAAACCCTAGCGGATCACATTCCCCCCGAGAAAGCAACACGAGCAACTCGTCGATAAACAAGCTGTCCCCTCGGTTGGATGTACCTACTCCTGCTAGCACGACTACTTCTCATCCCCATGCTTCTAGATCCACTAGCATGCCTGTGGATGTGCTGCAACACCAACATATCGAACCGATTGAGCATTCAACCCCTGGTGGGCGCATGGCAGAGTTGATTGAAATGAGCCATCCGCCTCAACCAGTTCCCCAACCGGCACCTTTCACGAACCCAGCGCCGCAACCATATGCAGGCTATCAGACTCAACCTTATCTATCACCGGCTCTGCCAACCGCTCTGCCAGCTGCTCTGCCAGCCGCCCTGCCACCTGCCCTGCCAACGGCGCCTGTCGCTCGACCCGTCGATGGAAGTATGCATGAATGGTGGACCAGGCCTTGACAGCGGTTCTCTGGGGTACGGTAGAACTTGGGTCTGCTTTGGAGGAATACGAGGAAGCGAGAAACGATCAACACATACCTACCTTTGGCATGCTTTATTCACACACACTCTCTCCTTCCCTACTGCTATCCATTATATGGTTATCTGCGACGGTGATGAGGGACTACTTTTAAGCTTCAGCGATGGCGTTTCTGCCCTGCATCAACAAAACTTTTAGTGGAAGCACAGCATAGTTTGCATAGAGTGAGACCTCTTAGAAGGCACATATTAGAATCGAGGCTCCTCCAATTTATTCTTGAGCACAAGATTTTCCTTTTCTACGAAATAATGGTCGAGAGCACAGTAGTGTGGCGACAGGAGTCGATATTGCACGAAGGCGATGATGATGAGGACGAGGATAGGAAGGATCCATGTCCGATCTGTAGTAGTCATCTGAACTCTCTGACGCTGATATACGAAATGATCGTCAGCCTTTGACATTTCTGGGAATACCAAGTCGCCCGAGATGAAAACCTGAGTGTCTTGACCTGGCTTGTGCTTTGACCTCTTGACTGCCACTACCATTACTACCTAGGTATCTACTTTATCTATTGCCTAGCCTAGCCTAGGTACCTACACTGTATGGTATGTACACATGTAAGTGCCTAGGTAGGTAGATAGGTAGGTACGTAGATAGATGATAGGAGGGCACATCATCCTCGCTTTGTTCAGTCCCTTGCTCACCAACTCACCAACTTACCAACTCCCTCCCTTGGCTCTTCTTCCACGACAACCCCATTAGATGGTGTACACAACGACAACGACCATGGCACTCAATACATATGATATCACGCGCGGCGACATTTAGCTCACTACCTCTCTCACTCTCCCAATAAATCCTTTACTGCCGCTTTTTGTCATAAAGGTACCTTTACCTACATACATACCTACCTCTACATACGTATAAAGGTATCTCAGAATGCGTGCGTGCGTGCGCGTGCGCTGCCCTGCTCCGTCCCCGGCCTACCGCTCGAGATGATAACCCGCCCCGTGCGCGCCTCATATCCCGCCCGCCCGAGACCTCAAGTGTTGACAAAACTAAGATAGTTCTTCTAAAACGTGGAGGACGCCTGGTCCTCTTGGAGGGGAAAACATCCATCTCACTTTTCACTTTGTTTATTACTTTTTTTGCGGGTTCGTGCCATCTCTCTCTCTCTCTCTCTCTCTCTCAAGAGGAGGGGGAAAAAAGGGGGTTTCGAGCTTTCTGTTTGATAAAAAAAAAGTCTGACTCTGTTCTATGCCGCATTTCCAGGTTTCTCTTCCGTGTCGATGTGCTGTGCAGAGAAGAGTGATCAGTAAAATGAATTCCCGGGAACAACGACGACGACAGGGACATGCTGGTCCACAAACTTACCCAAACGACATAATTGGGCAATCCTACGACTTGATACCCTGCCCTCTTGGCCATCTTTGCAAAACCCTCAGTCTCGGCTTGGTTCTCGAAAGCATAACAGGGGAAGTTGATCCCTGTATTCAAATGTCAGCACAGGCAAGACACATCACACCTTGATCTCCCTGGATCCAAGCGTTGACGGTGTAGATACTCACCAGATCGATGGACATCCGCCTTGACCAAAATATTAACTCCACCAATTCCATCCAACTCTATCTCCTCATCCTTGTTATTTCTCCAATCACCCATCCTCGCCATGTACGTTCTTCCAGTATCGTATTCCTTGTATCCTTCTGCAAGTACAATGTCTTTATCAAGCGAAGCGGCGAGACGACGGCCCTTGTCGGATTCAATCCAGCTGTTGTAGTCGAAGCGCCCTTCAATGTCGCGTCCGTTTTCGTATCGGTGAAACCAGATGTCTGTTCAACGAGCATTAGACGAGACCTGCTAATCCGGATAGTGTAAAAGTCATACTTGGAACCAAAATATCTCGATCATGGGCTACAAAGTCCTCGATGATCTTCTTGGGTGAATCCACAATGTCGACATCACGCCAGTAGACCCAGCTATGTTCGGGCTTCAACGCCGCCGAGAGCAAATAATTCCTTGCTCTTCCCATTGCTTTTCTTCTCGGGCCTTGAGCGGCGAATCCATGTCTCGACTCCACGCTCATGTCGAGCTTGGAGCCAAAATCTTTTTCGACAATGAGGACGCTGTGGAAGGGGATTTTGTCGGTCCTTTGTTGGATGCGGTTCAGCTCCGAGGACAATACTGCAAGGGTGTCGTCGACAGAGTCGCCCACGAGGAAAGCCAGGTCGATCAGGTCGTGCGGATACGTGAGTTCGGAGAGCAAATCAAAGTACTTGATGAGGTAGGGGGCGGCGTCGCGGAGAGGCGTGAGGATAAGGATGCGTTCACGATTGCTGAGAGCTCGGGGTGTGGAGACAATGGGATTGAGATCGATGCGATTGATGGTGCTGGCGTTGACTTCATAAGGTTCGTGGTGGTTGAAGAGGACAGGCGTCTGGAGGTGCTGGTTCCAGGCGACCAGCTCATTATTCGACATTTGCGTGGGAGGCTTCGAAGGGCCGAAGCAATAGAAACTGGCAAGTCACATAATGTCAGCTATTCTGGTCTTTCATCTCGGGGTTTGGACATCACCCCCGTACTTTGACATCTGCTGTGTAGACACGCTGATCCCCCTCCATAATAAGACAATCAAGCCCGTGAGGGCCACTGCGACCAGGAACCGGGTCCGTGTCAAGAACATTATTATGGCTTTCCAAGGGGGCAGCCGGGCTTTGGCGGACTTCCAGGTCACGCCGCCTTTTGGTAGAAGCATTTTGTGTGCGGTCTGGGGGTATTGTACAGAAAGAAAATCAAAAGGTGCGAGAGAGAGGCGAAGGCGAAGAAAAAGGAGAGCAAGGGATGGGCGCGGCGATGCGGAGAGGTGGCAGACTCCTCGCTAGGAGGACGTCGTTGTTGTCGCGGCCAGATTGAATTCAGCGCTCCTGGTTGTGATGGCACGAAACGAGCGGAATGGCCTTGCGCATCAAGGCCCGACGGAGAAGGACTGAGCCGTGAGAGAGGAGAGAGATGACAGGCTGCGGTTGCGGTTAGGAACGAGGGCTAACGGGGCGCGACTCGGACGGGAATCAAGGGTTGATTGATTGCCAGGAGATTCTGAGATGCTGGATCAGAAGTGATAGAGTGTACAAGATAGAGGAATTCTGAAGCCTGACAAAGTTGATGCAAGGGTCGGTGGCTGCGGCAGTGGAGTGTTGGTTGAGGGATGCGGACACGAATCAATCTGGATGTCTGTATCTGATCCTTTTTTCCCCAGCAGTTAGGAAGTTCAGGGCCACCAGCACCACCAAGGGCTCGGAGGGTTTGGCTCCAAGCACCCCAAGGGCTCTAAAGGCTCAAAAGGCTCATTATTACTGGTGGTGCTGGCACCCTAAGCTGCAAAGGACCCTGATTGGGCTTAGCGTGCTACTTGGCCTTTTCCGACCTCCGTTCCCAACTGCGACACGTGCTTGCACGTGGTCGCGTCTACTTCATACAACACTACCCGTTGAGGTGTTGTTACGGCTGTCTGTTCAGAGAGGAGTCAGGTCAATTATAGAGAATCCCAGAACTGAGTCACAGTTATGCCCACGGAATGGGTTCTAACATTTTGTTACATCACCATCAAGTGATTGTCGCCAGCCAGTGGCACTGACAGACAAGCTATCAACAACCCCGGAGGGTGTCGTGTTGTAGCCACACTTGGTGCTGAGCATTCATTTTCCATTCAGACCTTTGAAGAAGCCGCAAGACATTCCTCCTGCTCATGGCACATGAGAATTAGTTCCCAAACATACTTTTCATTCCTGCCCATCGACCAGGATGTTTGTCGATCAAACCCTGAATGACCAAACCCAAAAGACCTGCCATTCGATACAATCGCCATATCCATCGTCCCAATCGAAACGATTTTGAAAAAAAGGTATACGAACTGCCTCTGTCGGCTCCCAGATTGAGATTGGATTCTCACTAGAAAGTAGATCGGATGCGCCTCAAGTCTTGCTCCATGTCATCCTGCGATCTCTTCCAACCAACATGGCATGGATGGGAGAAAGAGGTGGCGCTGCTTGAGTCGCTCTCGCTAAACCTTCGTTGAGGACCACCCAGCAAGTCCTTTTGTTGGATCAAGAACCGGAGCAGTATTTGTACCACCTCTTCGGCCCGTCTGCGCCGGTCATTGACCGATTGTACCACTCTCCCTGCCATTTCATGGGCGTATATGGCTGACCAGAGCTGATCGTCTTTGCCAGGCCCTTTGCCTGATTGGATTTTGGACTTCTTCTCAGCCTTTGCATGCTCAGCACCACATTCTGCCGCCAGCTCGGGGCATCGACGATGGCTTTCCATTTGAGATTCTCGGTGGCGGTCTCTCCGGTCGTTTTCGGCCATTCGGTGTGCCTCGTTGGCCTCTTGTCTTCTCTTTTTCTTGGCCCGCAACTCAGGGTCCAGGTCTTCCATCCCGTCCGTCTCCGCAGATGGGGCTCGCTTCACGACCTTGCGAGGTTTCGACACGCGTTCGCCGTAAAGCTCCCGAGCCTCGTCGCGGTGAAAGAAACCTTCAACTAGTTCATCGAGGGATTTGCCGGCGATCCGATCTTCTATGCGTTTGTTGAATTTGTTGTCTTGGGCGTTTGGCTGGAACCAGCCCTGGTTATAGGCTGGCATGACTGCAGAGTCACGAAGCAGCTCTTTAGCTACACGAACAGCATCAGCGAGCTTAGGTTCTGGCAGGTCGAGCAGTGTTTGAAGATGAGCGATACCGGCATGGACGTCGGCGCCAACATCTGTTTCGCTTGAGCATACAGATGAGTGACTGCTGACGGAGGGAGGAGGGGTCAAGGGTTGTTCGTGGGTCGGAATGCTGCAGGTTAAACTCTTTCTAACTGGTTCGCGTGACAACAAGATAAGATCCTCAGCAGGCTGAAATTGGTCCAGAGGGAGTTGATCAGCACCCAGCATGGGCAAGCTGTTGAATCGAAGAGGATTGAGTCTGCGGCAAAGACAAGGTTGGGGTAGAGGCAGAGGCAGTGCCAGTTGCATGGCTAGTACCTCAGTGATTTTGGGCAAGCCAGCCTTGGTCTGAGACGGACTGTTCTCTTGCCCTGTCACTGTGGTGCTGTTTTCAACCTGCATATTAAGTCAGATAGATGTAAAACGTCCAAGACAGGGTTGAGCTAGCCATGGTTCCAAGTAGAGTAAGGCTGAGGGGAGTTCTGTTCAACAGGTATCTAGGCCAGTCGAGTATCAAGCGAGATTCACCATCACAACGTCCACAAAAGCACTACCAAAGCGCAGCAAGGCATGTAACTAGGACTGAAGGCACGATATCGTCGGTTGGTCGGTTTGCCGAGATGCAACCGTCCAGATGGGCTGTATATGTACCCCAGGAGCAACTCACACTAGACCTTCGGACGATGCATGATCTGGACAATGAATGTTTGCGGCAGCACATCTCCACTTCGCCATTTGGTAAACTTTGCATGGCGCCTCCCTGCCTCTTTGATGCACTGCTGCCTCCAGAAACTTGATGAGGGTCCTCAATCAATAGCAACAACTAAAGTGTTATCCTGTTTGAGCTAGAAGCCAGCGGGGAACTTCCATTGCAAGCATAGGACGAGGTAGCAGTCTCTGATTGGAAGCACAACAACCTGTCAAAGGTCCAACCCCGGGTTGGGGGGTTCGACGAAGACCAGGATAGGACGCCTCCTTCTGTCCTCCCTCTTGATCGGCTTGTGCTGAGGAGCGCCGCAAAGCCCCAGTTGAGACCAGAAGAGCATTAGACAGCTGCAGGTGTCGTCGCTAAATTAGCCAGGTTGATCCTAAAATCACTCGACGGAAAAGGGAGATGCAAGATCTGGGATGGGGGCCTTTCTTGTTATTCGCTTATCGGCCATAATACCCCTGGTTGTTGCCTGCGATCAGCGTCCCAAAATCGTGCAGTTGGGAGAGATCGATCGTTTCCGTTGGCGCTGTATCCCATGAAGCATGATTCTCCCCAGCCTCATCTACCGCTAAGTCGGCTCGACGCTCACAGAGGTCTACCCTCAACTGGTCAAGCCATCATGGTGCATGTCTTGCCTCCCCAAAACTCCATCATGGTCTCTATTCGATTGGGACTCTTTCTCTATCTCAAGGGACTCTCGATCGTGGCAAAATAGCTGTCATCGAAGGTTATGACTGAGGCGACAATGAGTGGACAGATCCTTGTGCCAAGAATGTGAGCTCAGATTCCGTTGCTGGATGTGACCAGGTTGACCCTTGGAAGGTCGAATGAAAAGTCTCAGGCCAGATCCACCACAGTCGCTGTTGCCCCGAGCTTTTGACAGCTGTGCTTGACTTGCTCGCTTGCGTCAATTGCGGCTTTGTGATGGGGATGCCTTGTCCCGACTTACCCCCCCAGGAAAGCAGCAGCCAGTTCTGGTCATATGCATTACATTGACACCCATATGTGATGTAAGTCCATTATAACATGTTGGAGTATATATATGTAGGGCCGATGTAGAGGGGGACCTTTCCGTTTCTCACGAAACCCAGCACTTCGTCTTCCTCTGCATCAACCCATGTCTTCATAATTTGGAATCAACCAATGTTCAGATGTCAATTATTGTCGTATTGTGTCAAAGAGGCCCCCCGCCCCCCCCGTTCAAAGCACCCAGGATGGAAGAGCCGCAACGCTAGCGAATCGTGGATTGAGATGCCACTCCAGGCGGCCCACAGTCCTTGGTCTACTCATCGGCTCTGCCTTCCAAGAGCTTCCTTGATTCGTCCAGTCTTCTCCTGAGGACTTTTGCGGCATGCACTTCGTGTTTCCTTTCGGACCGTAGAATCTCATTGCAGACGCCACCCACAGCCCGCAAGAGATCCAGGACGAGATCCTTGTCGACGTTGGAAAAGGTCACTGAGCCAGGTCCATCACCAACTCTAAATTCGGGGTCTGCCAGCTTGATCAGACTCTCCATTAGGATCTCGGTGTTTGCAGGATGATCAACTGGCACCTCGTTTGGCACACTAGTCGGGCCGTATGCTCTTGGAGTGGAAAAAGAAACGCTTGGTGAATGAACAGGAGGCGTCGGTATGCCGTTGGAAACGATGCTCCCTTGCGTCTGAATCTGTCGTGGCGATCTGATTGGTCCTTGTCGAGCTCTGCCGCTCATGGGAGGCGTTGGCCACACACTAGCTGTACCTTCATGTTTTGGGCTCGTTGGGGTGTGAGAGAAACCCGTTCCGCTTCCCCAAGTCAGTATCTCAGCCGGCATCCCGTCTTCGTCCTCGTCTTCACCATCGCCTGCACCTTCCGTCGCGGTCTCAAAGGTGGCCACGGTCGAAACAGAGTCGATACTGTTGCTTCGAGCTGCCTTCATCCACGGTTTCGAGGGTGCCGCAAGTGGAGTGGGCTGCTTAGGTTGAGTTCTGGGTTTGAGGAATGTCTCTTGGACGGGAGTACTAGCGGTGTCATCTGTAGTTGTTTCCTCGTCGATCTGAGTTTCGGTGTCGTCGTCGTCGTCTTCTACTGTTGGGGTGTCTTGGTTCACGCGCGTTGTTGTTACACTGCTGCAGTCACTCTCGCTAGGAGTTTCACTTCTAATACCGGTCCCGGTGTAATTTCCCAACGCACTATGAAGGAACATGTTCTCATAGTCGAAAGCGTCTAATCTGTCTTCGTGACGTTCTGCGGCACCTTCGGTAGGGAGCAGATGTTCGGGGATCTCGGGGACATCGGGCTCAAGATCCTGCAAACTCTCTTCGAGAACTTCATTTAGGTAGATTTGCTCTTCCTCCGAAGCGGCAATCGGTTCGTCATCATCAAATTCCTGTGCTGCATCTTCGTAGAGCGACTCCTGGAGTATGGAATTTGGCTTCTCGAGAGGCTCTGGCTGGAGATGGATCGACTTGTGGAGACTCGGGGTGTTCTTATCTGTCCTAGCCTCACTCACCAAGCCAGAGTCTTTAGTCGCCGGGAGTTCGACATTCAGCAATGTTTGTGCCTGCGGTGTGACCGGTGCAACTGGGATGTCCACTGGCTTCGTCTGTCGGGACGGACTCCAGCCGAGTCCAGCATTTGTGTTGATTGGGCTGCCTGCCTCTTTGTATTCCGGGGCATTTGCATACCACTGCTCAGGACTCTGCGCACTTGCAAAGGGGCTAGGCGTCCGGGTGGTCTGCATACTTTTCCTCCTAAGGCTGTCAGCCTGTGCTTTGTCCTTCAAGTCGGAAATTTTGGCCTGCAGATTCGACATCTGTTCTCGAATCTCTTTGGTGGACCGATTTGACATGGATGAGGAAGAACGAGCAAGAGCTGTAGGTGGGCTGCTTGTGACCACTGAAATATTTTCTCTTGACACGGCGGCAAGAGTATTGATGCCCAGCCCTCGTGGGCTTGATGTTTCTGGAGTCGTCTTGGTTGTGCTAGCAGGGCTTTCTTCCTCCTTCAACACCAGCAGAGGGGAATTGAAACTCCGATTACTCGCTGGTGAGTACGGGCCGCTCCTTGATGGGGGCGAATGGAGTAATTGTTGAGGAGATTCTTGCCTGCGTCCATATTCCAACGCGCTTGCGGATCTGATTTCCGGAATCATGGAAAGTCGCTTCAATCCAGACGTTCCAGTCGTCGTATCACTACCGCCTCTAGCGTGTGCCACTGAATTGGTTCTGTTGACAAGATGAAGGGGTCTGGCCTTTCGTTGACTCGCACCGGCCAAGGAGATTGACCGATACAGCCCACCCGCAGGTTGGTGAAGTTCGTTCATATTTGGTGAGGATCTCGATGACAGGATGCTGTGACGTGCCTTACTTAGATTATCCTCCATATGTGTTAGTCGTTTCCTGGCATGTTCAAGAATCCTTTCTGCTCGTTCGTTGAGGAGAGCCATCTCATCTTCCGCGTTTGTCGTAACTGTGCTATTTCTCTTACTGTCCGGATCTTCAATCTCTTCGTCTGGGACCTTCGCAACGTCTGCGGCCAGTCTTTCATTCATAATCTTAGAGGTATCAAAGTCCTCCCAATTGCCCAGATCGGTGCCATTGCTCGAGGACGATTGATTGCTCAGTCGCCGGGCCGCGTGCAGCAGAGGAGCCGCGGGGGATGGCGAAGGAGGGTCTGATATGAGCGGGCTCTCGGTGCGCCGACTTTTCTTCGACTTTGGGGTTTCCTCCTCTCCAATATCGCTCAGGGGGGCTCCGTGTTCGTACCCGTAGTAGTTGGTACTAATAGGAGGGACCGCCCTTGAGGGCATCCTAATGGTTGTCGCAATCCCTAACTCAACCGCAGGTTCAAGCTCGACGGGAGAGGAGCCCAGTGACACCGCAGAATCTGGACGTAGAGGCAGTGGAGAAGAGTGTAATATTGGCGAAGATGCGCGTGGACTGGGACTCGAGTCAAGGTGAGGCTGGTATGGCAAAATCATGTCGGGATTTGTCAAAGTCGGCGACGGAGGGACTTCCTGTGTAAACAGGTCGTGCGGGATGGCGGGAGGTATAGGATGAGCGTGCGCACTCGCCATGATGACGAAGATCGGGTGGACGAGCTGTACAATTGACTCTGACAGAATGCGACAGCGTGGGAGACGACGAGCTGCTGGCTAGGAAGACAGCACCAAGTCCCAGTGAGAAATTGCTAGAGCATCCCGGCGGCCAAGGGGTATCAAGGGACGTCGTCGTGAGGATTGCGGCGAAAGTAGACTCAATGCGACTTTTGCAGGTAATGGAAATTGGATATGGGAGAGATGTGCGAACGCAGGAGAGAGAAATCTGGGAAACTGGATCTGCACTCCAAAGCCCTGCCCCCCGGGCTCGTCAGATTGTTGGACAAGGGGGTTTCGCAAGTGGCAGAGCAGTGAGTGCAGTAGTTCACCAGGCTGAGATGGAGAATGAGTGCGGGCTCCGGGATGAGGAGTTTTGATGGCGCACAGCCAGGCCCATCCAAGCCCATACAAGCGAAGATGAAAGGAGTGGAAACAAGGCGAGCTGCAATCGTGACTGGCTACCGCCCCTGCATCAAGCACCCGGCAGCGCCAACGACCGCTGAATCTTCAGGGAACCCGCCCAACCGGAGCAGCCCAGTCGGAGCCACACCAGCCTGTCAGCTGCGCCCAGAGCCACCAGAGCCTTAGCTGCGCAAATCTCCATCAAAGAACAAGACTTGATCGTTGAAAACCTTCGCTCACCTGACACGACTTGCCATCCCCATCCACCATCCCCCAAGCTGCAATTTTGACCCCGCGTTCCATGGTGCAATCCTGTCACTGTCAAAAGCAGCAGCAGGTAAGGCCAGGACGTCTCTGTGGATGTCGATAATAGCAATTCACTGCTGACGAAAGTGACGCGAGAGTAGTCGTAAGTGAGACGAGCTCGAACCTCCGCAGCCCATCTGATGCAGGCAGACTTCCGAAGCGCCAGAGAAGAGGCCTCTCATTGAACGTTGTGAAGAATGCCAGCCTTTGTCCTTGTCCCTGCATTACCCTCCGATCTCGAGGAGATAGTCCGCGTCCAATTCGCAGCCTGCGCCTCCGATCATGGTTTTCCTGTCATCTTTCCCAAGGGACCCACGTTGACTTCTATCACGTATTTCGTGCGTTCGTTCGAAAATGACATGGAGAATGATCCCAGCTGTCATGTCATGGTGGTCAAAGATGCCATGTCTGGCGAGATAGCGAGCTATGCTGTTTGGCATTTTTACCCACCCAGAAGCCAAGAGGAGGTCGAGAGAGAAATGCTGATTCGCGAATTTCCACTCCCTGATGACGCCAATAAGGAACTGGGAAGTCGGTTGATTCACCATAGCATTAGGAAACGGCATGAAGTCGTTGCATCAGCGATAGGGACTGAAAAGGCCTATGTGTGTAAGAAAAACCCCATCCCTGTCTTTAACCTAGACATTCAGAAGAACTAACCGTGTGACAAGTTCTTGCCGCTATAGGCACCAGCCCGAAATACCAGAAGCAAGGTGCTGCTTCTCTCTTACTTCAATGGGGTCTGGAACGGGCCGATGACCGAGGGCTGTCAATCTATGTTGAGAGTGCTCCAGCCGCATTACGACTCTACGAGAGGCATGGCTTCAAGGAAATTTCAAAATTTCCCCTCGAGATGTCACCATGGAAGGAGGGAGAATATTTGAATGTATGCATGGTCCGGCAGCCTCCAAGCTGAATATTTCTTAACCACAACGCCATCCTGATGCCTCATCAATGTTTTCCTGGACTTTACTCGGCCCGTACTTTAGCCCTGACCATCAAGGGTCCGTGCTTTTCTCCAATTCCAACGCTGTCCACGATCAATTCCTCCGCGGGATCTAGTACTTCGAGATCGAATCGGCGCCAGACAGCCGTCAATACTTTGACGATGCTCATCGTCGCCACGTTCCTGCCTATACAGGCTCTATGACCAGCGCCAAACGGGGCGAGATCGTTGGGAGACAGTGGCTTCGATGGATCGAGCCATCGCTCAGGGCGGAAGATGTTGTGGTCAGCGCCCCAAACAGAGGGGTTGTGATGAATGACCTGGTTGATCATCGAGACGTTGGTCTATGAGAGGGCAGATTAGCATGATGCTACAATCTTGCACATTGTCAAAACCTACCCCAGGGGGAACATAAACACCATCAACCACTGCACCTTCGGGATCACACACTTTGCGCGGTAGCGGCATGGTAAACACTGGTGTCATGCGGAAATTCTCACGGATGCAGGCCGTTGCGTACGGCAGCTGCGCTTCCAATCCCGCATAAGCTGGTAAGGAGTCTCCGGCAGTATTTTGTAAGGGGATACATTCCGTAATCTCTTTGGTCAGCTTCTCTGTCGCAGTCTTATTGTGCAGCAGATGGTAGAATAATAGAGTCAAGGTGCCGGAAGTCGTGTGTGCCCCTGCCACCAGAAAGGCAAATGCTTCCGAACTGACAGCCATCTCCGTCAAACGCTCACCAGTTTCGGGGTCTGTGGCGCGGATGAGCCTGGTCAGGATGCTGTGCTTCTCGCTCATCTTTTCTCTGGCCATCTCGCGGGCGACGCATGCTGATGTCCTGTCTCTCAGCGATTTCCTGCTCTTGAGGAGATACTGCAGCCACGGGAGCGGAACATAGTTTGCAAATTTCATGCTATACGGGAGCAGGGACGGGAGCAGGCCAAACAAGCAGCCCAGGAAGATATGCTCGTTGATGGGTGGCAGCAACGCCGGGTCCTGGGCAGCTTGAGATCCGAATTCGGTGTGGAAGGCCAACTCCCCCATGACATCGTAGGCGTAGAAGCCGACGAGGTTCTTCAGATCAAAGGGTTCCGAACCCTTTGCGGCGATGGCGTTGAGAAGGTTGTTGAGATGGCGGTTGAAGATGGACTCCATCTGTGCGAGGGAGGCGACGGAGAAGCTATGCGCCATCTGACGACGCCTCTTTGCGTGTAGCTATTTTGCGTCATTAGCCCTTTCCCTCCTAACCAAAGACAGCGAAAAGAACTGGCAAACTCACGTCTTCGTCACGGGTCCCAAACGAGTTTGGGTGGAAAGTCGTAAACCCTTCATACATGTCGCTCTTGATGAACCGTCGTCCGCCCTTGTAGACCTCCTCGAGGATCTCGACGCTCTGGAAGCTCAGCTCGTTCGGGGCCACACGCACGACGGGCCCATACTTTTCGTGCACCTTGATCATGGTGTCCGGCATGCGTCGGGTGCACAGGTGATAGACGCGCCATAGATCCGTGTGGCGGGCCCAGAAGGGGCCCGGGAACTTGCTCAGCGGGTGGAAGAACTGGTTGCGCACAAAGGACGCGAGGACGAAGAGGACGGGCAGTCCCAAGAACAAGAGGTAGGGTGATAACATGGCGGCAGGAAGATCGATTTATTTCCCTTTCTGTTTTTTTCTCGTGATGAATGAGGCGAGATGTTGGTTGTGTGGCGGTATTTAAGTGACACGGCCAAAGCAAAGAGCAAAGACAAGAGAAGAAGAATATCAAGGGACGAAAGAAAAGTCCAAAGGTCCTTCAAGAGTGCTTCTGGTATTACTCACAAGGACAGACACTCTTTCTTTTGAATGTCCTGATGGGCTTTGCTTGATATAGGACTCTGGACTCGGGCTTCGGGACTCGAGAAGCAAGCACGCACACAAGATATACGTGGTTTTCCTGAAACCGGGGGGAGCCTATCCCACCCAGCCACGCCTGTGATTGCCGGCTGACGTACATGGTGGGAATCTATGCCTCGTACACCTCCAATCCGAGTTCCTTGTTTATCGACAATGGAAGGAAAGGAGGGGATTCCCTTGGTTCTGCCCATTGCCCGAGACGGAAGAAACATGTGCGTTCCGTAGGTTGACGAACAGATGGAGAGGAGTCGGAATGGTCCGCCCTGGATCATCGTGGAGATAAAGCCAGGAATCAAAACAGGTTGAGGTGGGTTGCAGGAGAGGACCAGAGAGGAAAGAGTGTTTGTGTGAGCGAGTCAGACAGGGCCGTATACTTTGAGTTCTGATGCTCGGAACATCATCAACTCTCGACTGCTGTGATTCCGAGCTCCTTTTTGTGGGCAATTGTGGGGATTCCCCATCCCGTTTGGAGTCTCCGACTTTGTTTTCAGCCTAGAGCACGGGGACTAGTAGCCCAGCGAGGATCGCGACTTGGAATCGAAAACCCTAACCCCAACTTCTGCAGGTGATTGTAGCCTCGTCGTGCGAAACGGCCGAGATACCTCCTACAGCGACTTGCTTTTGTACCATGACCCGATATCCATTCAAGCCGAGTTCATTGCCGTGTTGTGTTCCATCTCCCGCCGGCTTAAGCGACACATCGCTAACGAACGAGTGAGACGATTGGGTGTCCACAACCAGATGTACCCGGTCAATGTACCCAGTCGTGGTTCTTGAATATCGTCGCTCTCTCGTAAGCCCGAGCAAAGTAGTGACCCTCAGATCGAGCGAGAGATCCCTGACAACGGAGTGGGGGGTGGGCAAGACTCGGGAGAAGAGGTCGAAAGGCTTGAATCTGACAAGATCTGGTGTGTATTGCTTGTACGTACCTATTTGTAGGTAATGAGGCTTCCCATTCTCAGCCTGCGGACGTGTTTGGGAGAGTTGCTCTGCCGATATATCGACCACCAGTCTTCAGATCCTTCTGCAAAGGATTCGATGGCCTCCCTTCTCTCCTGCCCACTACTGTCTCTGGGAAGTTTGTGTCCTGAGTGTAGCAGTCTCTTCCCTGGGCCCTTGTAAAAAAAGGGTTGCAGAATGGCTATAAGTGCCACTTGCCTCGACTTCCATTGCCCTTCTGCATCGAGTGACTGTACGACGTCTCCAGTGCTGATGCAGACGCGGGTGCCGGCTCGGGCACAGCCTCTTCCTCCTTCGAGAATTGGCCGAGACCTCCCATTGAGGTCCAGCTTTTGACTGTCTTCATACCGGGAAGATCATACTGGGAAGAATGGAAGCTCGAGGGGAGTTCACCAATGAAACTCTTCAGCTTGTCGAACAGTCTGAGTAGTGTCAGTCCTCAGCTCTAGATAGGACACTAGATAACACTACCACTCCAGACCTCGCCGATCATGAGATTGCGGTACCGAGTCTGCTGGTGCATGGTACGAGAATATGTTTGATATGAGGATAGAAGGCCGAGTGTTTGCCGGATTCAAAAAAAACGAACGCGCTCACTTTGCTGCACGGGGTAGCGTGAAGGACATTCGCCTAGAAGGTGCAATACTCGATAGATGTACGAAATCTCGGGGTAGAACAGCATTCGCTCTCTCTCGAACACCGAATGGAAGAAGAATATGTAATTAAGTTTTTGGGTTCGCGAGCACTTGTGATAGTTAAGCCTAGGGGCACCGGGGAGACTCGGGGCACCCAGTGGCACCCAAAGGCAGACGGGGAATTGCTTTAGAGGTCGGCACCAGCGCCCAACTTCCGCACCCCGCCCACCCGCACCCCAGAGAAAACACTCGCCGGGTTGGCACGGGTCACGGGCTGGTATCAACTACCTTTGTAGTTAGTATTCTTTCTCTATTCTGACTTGACTCAGCTCAATATCATCTCAACTCCCATCTACCCATCGACAGGTCGCTCTAATTGCTGTCTATAAACACCAGAGGAGCTCCTAATTCCACAAACTACTGCCCCTGAGATGGTACATCTGGTCTCATGGAGCCACCAAAGAAAAAGGCAAGGCAGAGTGTTGCCAGACGCGCCCCCTACGCTGCTGCGGCCTGTGACTACTGTCATGGCCGGAAACTGAAATGCTCGGGGGATCGTCCCTGTCTTCGCTGCAAGAAACATGCCATCTCATGCAGTTATCCCGCAGCAAAGCCGGACTCAACCTCTACAGTCCAGCCGCGGGACGCTCAGACGTAAGTCTCGTCAAAATCCCCCGCCCAGAAACTCGTGATATACGCGGGCCCTGACATAGACAGGTTGCCCGACGCCTTGTTCGCCAGCATCGAAGATTTACAGCGCAACCTGGACGACTTCAAAACCCAACTTCGAGGAACCACAGCTCCCGAGCAGCCAGGACCAGGACCTGCGAACCCAACTCCGCCAGAAATACTTCCACTAGCTCGAAGTCCACCTAGAGACGAGCAGGACGATGTCGCCCCTGTGAAACGGCAACTGGATCCAGACATCCTCGATGTATATGCTGGCCCGACCAGTTACGCGTTTGGAATGGTTACAGCAGATGCAAGGCTTTCCAACCTCACCCCATCCAGTAGGGAATTTGCGACAACTGATAGCCCATCGCCCCCAGCAATTGTGGCTCCTGCACCCTCACAATCAACTGCTCAACCCGCTGAAGCTTGGGAAGCCCACGGCGAAACTTCGCTGGAGAAATTCACCCTCGACGACGCCGTACATTGCCTGGACACCTTCCAAGCTGTGTTCGGCGTCCTCCATCCTCAGCCGCATCTTGAGAAGATACGGCTCAGCTTGCCTAGCCTGTTAAGATCTGCTAAAAGGTCACTCTGGAGTCGGCCAACCACTCCAGGACACTGTGGGCTCTTGGAAATGTTTAAACTCATCCTGGGAATCGCCTTGGTTGCCCAGACCGGAGGTAGAACAACGTTGTCAGACACCCTTTACCAGAGTGTAGAGCCTACCATCGCTGCTGCTGTCTTCCAACGCTCCATCAGTCATGACTTTCGGGCTTTGTTACTGCTCGCGGTATGGGAAACATTATCGCAGGAAAGCCCATTACTGATCAAGAATTAGGCTATATTCCACTTCTCCAATGAAGATCTAGTCCTTGGATCCAGAGCCATCATGTATGCGGCACGCACCGCTGTTGAAGAAGGGCTCTATCGAATTGAAAAGCTCTCGGTCCTTGTCCCCGATGAAAAGGAACGCCAGGCGATCATCCGGCAGCTATGGAGCTTGTTTGTACTGGACCGTCAGCTCAATTTCGCCGCAGGGCTACCACATCATCTCGGTGACAATGATGTCGACCTACCCCCTCCTGTAAGTCGTTCCCACTGACTCCGCTGAGTATGTCTGCTGATGAGGTACTCTGTAGGTCGGCGACGGCTACCTCGCTGCAATGGTCAGCTACGTGATATTCGGGGCGCAAGCATGGAACTCGCTGGTGAACCGAAACCTATTGGCCAGCGGACAAGCTCCGTCTAAAGATGCAATGAACTTTTTCCACTACCAGGTCCATCAATGGCATCAGGATTTGGACCCTTCGGTATGCTTTGACCCCGCGGCGATAGAATCGGACGACCACAGCTTTTTCACCTCTACATCTGATGAAATGGAGGTATATCGCAAGACCCTCCTGTATCTCCGCGCAAATCAGATCCAAATCCTCGTCCTCCGTCCCATCCTCATCTATCCCCAGACTGCTCGCAACAATACCGCCCTGGTAATGGAAGCTATCAGCTTGGCTAAAAAGTCTATCCGGACGTTGAGAGTTTTGGCCACAGACGTCTATTTCTATAGAACAAGGCAAGCACTCTTCAACCACTTTCTATCCTCGTCGTTGGCAGTTCTCTTTCTGGCAGCAGCATACGACGCAGAAACCCGGGCAAATAAAGCCGGATCTCTGGACAGTGCAGCCACGCTACTGGAGGACTCAACGATTGAGCTTCAGCAGGGCCTCGATTTGATCGATTTCCATCGCTCTCATTCGCACTCGGCTGCGCGGTTGTGGACACGCTTCTACCGGCCAAGACAGCAGCTGATCCGACTGGGTATCTTACCAAGCACTGCTGAGACAAGATATCAACAAGATCAGCATCCTCACCAAGGCTCAACAAGCGCAGGTCGAACCGACACGCCGGAACAGGAAGAGCGCCACGTAGCCGGTATAGTTACCGACGGACACACTGGACCAAGCGGAGCGGGGGATCTTGATTCCCAGCTGGATGTGTCGGTTCCTGTCGGCTTTGATCCGGCGACTTTTGATCCTGAGAATAATCTACTGTGGGTAGACTGGTTTGATGGGGCATTCATGGATACCTCGGTCCCATTTGGCATGCCGGCATGGATGTGATGGGTCGGGTATAGACACGACCACCGAGTGTGTGATTCGAACCAGTAACGTGCGTAAATGTCCAAGTATGTAAATTCTGACTCGATCACGCATTCGCAGTCCTAGCCGGCTTCATGGCGATCCAGGTGGCGAAAGCACGGGCATACCTCAGACCACAAGACTCGAGGAAGGGTGCTACGGCCATGTGAGACCATGTGGCAAAACCAGACGCCGGCACGTATCGTACTAAACACATTGGTCCAAAGTCCAGGCGGGAAGTGGCTATCTTAAGGCCATCACATTCATCTTGTCCACCGGGTCACCTGTTCCATTCTCCACCGGGTCTGGGGTTGGGGGGTTTTTTGTCCACCCTGATAGAGAGCCTTAGGGACCAATGAACATTGTATGCATATAGGTCTGGCATGCCAGGCTGAAGATCAAGATAATACGTCTATGATGACAATCAAGGTCGCTCTTGAGCGTTGTGCGTCCATGGTTGAGTGGCCGTTATACAACTTGCTGTTGTAAGGGCCATCGCGGTAGGGCCCGCACCGCAGGCTTAAAGCAGCATTTGTGCGGAGATAGAAGGAGACGGCTCGACGCTAAGTCCTGGTGCTAAAGCAGCATGGGTCCCTCACTATCAGGATTTCCCCTGCCTCTGCGCCCCTTCGACTCTGCAACTTCGCTTCTCATCCATCTGGCAGCAGTCCATCTCGCAGCTCACAACGTGCAGGGTGAACAGCGCTTCTCTCAATGACTCGAGATCCTGGTCAGAGCTAACCCCTGAAGAGCTCCTACATGTCGCTTCTCAAGTGGAATGGAGCATTCGCCAACCTTGTACCCTGGTTCACCGCAGGTCACTGCGTCCCGGATTCGGTGCCATCGCTGGCAATTTAGGCCGAAATGTTCCAGGCTTCTAAGCCAATCTCACCGCCAATGACCGGCCGTCCCTACCTCCTTCCGACGGAGTCAGGATCAGTTGAACCGCCTTTTCTCCAATTCTGATAACGACTGGTCCATCAGAAACAGATGGGAAAGCACGGTACTTCGCAGTCCGTCGTGAGTTGTCAGAGCGAACGGAGCCGTACCCTGCCGTTACCGACGCCTCACAGGCTGACAAGGTGATCAACATGGTCAACACTGGCCGCTGTCCCCGCCATCAACCCGCATTTCCCCAAGTTCTTCCCCTGATTGATCCGCCCCGCGCAAAACATTCCACCGGGACCCGCAAGGCACCCACAAATCATGGTGCTGTCTGCGGTATGGTTCGGTGTTGATATGGGCGAACAGCCTGATGACCACGCATAGGCGATGATCCGGCAGTTGGAGAACACATGGCAACAAGAGCATTCCTTGCGGCCTTGACGAGTCCTTGACCGACCATTTAAGAGGTGTAACCCTCCCTTCCCCAGCTGCCGGGGTCTCTCGGAGCTTCTGCAAATTGGTCCACCACAGCCATACCTCTGTGCTTATCAGCAAAGCTCTCCCCGAGCTTCAAACGCCCCGGATTGCAGTGCTCCTGTCATCTCACTTCTCACCAACCTTTCCCTTGCTCAAAATGGATGAAAAGGTAGCGAGAGCGGATCAAAAGGACGTTGCGTACGACAGCGACCCGAAGAGAGAAGTCCTCGAAGAGATCGAAGGTGTTAATGGCCTGAAGACGGTCGAGGTCGGCTTCTCAGCTGATCAGGTGATTGTCGAAGTTGACCACAAAGAGCGGACACGGATTCTGAGAAAGGTCGACTACCGCTTGATCCCGATCCTTGCCGTCTTATACTTGTGAGTCGAGACTACGTCGAAACTAGCTTGTGTCTGCTAACCCTGCCGCCAGGTTGGCATTCATCGATCGCGGGAACATTGGAAATGCCAAAATCGCCGGTCTCTACGACGACCTCCATCTCCATGGAATGCAATACAACACCGCCTTGACATTGTTCTTTGTGCCTTATGGCTTCTTCGAAGTACCGTCCAACATCGTGCTCAAGATACTGCGGCCGTCGATCTGGATATCTGTCTTGATGTTCTGTTGGGGTAAGATGTTTGGCTTTGATATGCAAAGCCTGCAGTGACTAACCTGTCGTAGGAACCGTGATGACTCTTATGGGTGTGGTTTCTACCTATGAGGGCCTTTTGGTAACAAGATTCTTCCTCGGCGTGGCTGAGTCGGGCTTCTTCCCTGCGGCGACATACCTACTCACGATCTGGTGAGCACCTCCTGGGGGATCACAGCAAGAAGACCAGACCATCTAACGTGTACAGGTACATGCGATACGAGGTGCAACGCCGGATGGCCCTCTTCTACGCTTCTGCCTCGCTTTCCGGTGCGTTCTCCGGGTTGTTGGCGTACGGGATTCAGCACATGGACGGTGTAGCAGGACTGGCAGGCTGGAAATGGATCTTCATCATTGAAGGTCTTGTTCCTGTGGCTGGCTCCTTGGTGGTCTGGTTCGTGCTTCCGGACAATCCGGAGACAGCTAAATTCCTCACAAAGGAGGAGAAAGAATTCATCATAAACCGACTGGCTCTCGAGACGGGTTCTGGCCATGGTCGGGTGACGAACACTGACCGCATTCGAATGCGCCACATCATTGCGGCGTTTAAGGAGTGGAAGATCTGGGGTGGTGTGATTATATTCTGGGCCAACACGGTATGTGCTTGCCTTTTCTGCCAATCCATATGTACTGACCAGGGATCCTGCAGATCGGTGTCTACGGCTTTACGGCTACGGTGCCATCTGTGATTGAGGGCCTCGGATACACCTCGGCCAATGCACAGCTGATGACGATCCCGGTATGTTCTTCACGTGGCGCCTTAGCAGAAAGGAAGTTGCTAGAGAGAAGCTTGAAACTAATTGGAGTTGTACAGATCTACGTTTTCGCCATGATCTTGACGCTTATATTCGCCTTCTGGTCGGACAAAGTCCAGCAACGAACGCCGTTCATTATGGCCGGTTTCAGCATTGCGGCGATCGGCTTCATCGGCGAGCTTGCAATTCCCCATCCCAGACTACCAGGCGTGACGTATTTCTTCCTCTTCCCACTTGCGGCAGGTCTTTATTGCCCGTTTATCTGTCTCGTGTGCTTGATCGGGAACAATCTGGCTCCCAGCTCCAAACGGGCCGTGGGCATGGCTCTGCTCATCTCTATGGTGAGTGATTCTGACCAGTTCTCGGATGACGCTGACATCATCAGGCAACTTCGGTGGCATCGCCGGGAGTAACGTCTATATTGCATCTCAAGCACCGAAATATCCGACTGGATTCGGGACAGGCTTGGGCATCTGCGTGGCTGCAGTCATCATGGCATACGTGCTGCGGGTCGCGTATAGAAGGGAAAATGCGAAGCGCGATGCATTCATGGTTGGCAAGACGGACGAGGAGATCAAGGCACAATACACGGAGCAGGAACTGCTGGATCTGGGAGACAAGAGTCCCTTCTATCGGTATACAGTGTGAGTAATGCGGTGGAGTTGTAATGATGCTGTAGCAGGGATTGTAAGAGGGGCGGAAGAGCAGGGGAGTGTGAGAGCGCCAGACATGGTTCTGCCATTGTACCTGACAGATATCTGCATAGATGGTTAGTAGGCCATGTCGACGAAGGGAGTACGTACGAAAGACATGGACAGAACCTTGGGCATTCCGTCTTGTGTGTTGTGTCCCCAATATTTCTCTAGTACTTTGGAGAATCAAGGTTATTGAGAAATGTAGTATTGTAGCTGTGCCCGAGTACTTACACGTAGGTAACCTTGGCTGGGTCGGCACCTACTAGGTGGTCTCTAGGTAGTGGAGCGTCCTTGTACGAGTAGGTACAGTTGCCGCCGGCTCTTATGCATCATATCGCACGTGATTTCCTGGGTATACCGGGTATACTGCTTACATGTCCCAACCATCAGGCATTCAATAGATTTTGTGCAAGTACAAGTATCTTGTGCTTGTCTTGGTACCTTGGATACCTTGGCGTGCTTGGACATGACAACGTGCCAAGACCCGCTCTTTGACCAGTGAAATCACGAGATTGCACCACGTGTAGAAACCATGAGTTTTCATTGGACCGCCTAGGAGGTATTTGATTGGACGGGACGGATTCGCACCCTCTCTGCCCTTCTCCCTGGGTCCAACAAACCGTATCGAGACGTATTATGTATGCATGCATTACTTGGCTAGCTGGGCACCTACCGAGCGCCTTGTGAAAAAGGGGACGCGAAAGGCTCGAGAAACCTGGGCGTGCCAATGTCTTGTTGTTTACAAGCACGGCGGAGGAAAGAGTGAAGAGTTGGAGGGACGTCGAGACAGAGTTTTTCAAGGGTGCAGGGGTGAGAAGGCTCAAGTTAAAGCGGCGACACTCGTCCAGTTCGGCCTAGGCGACGTACACGGCTGGGTAGCCAGGTAGCCAGCAAGGCCTGGTAGCTAGGAATTGGTGTGGTGAGGGTCGCGACAAGGCTTTTGTGGAACAAAGGTGTCAACATCACATTCTCCCATCTACACCTACCGCAAAAATGCGTCCGTCACTCGCCCTGGCCTCCCGTCTGGCAAACATTCAACTCACCCTCTTCACCCGCGCCAACTGCGGTTTGTGCGACGTGGCGAAAGCGCGCATTGGCGAGTTTCTCAGTAAGAACGACAACAACAACAACAAAGGCACCATCAAGAACGAGAATAAGGATGAGAGCAGCAGCAAAAGCAAAAGCAGCCGCGTCGTCCGCTACGCCGAAATCGACATCATGGACCCCGCGCACTCCAAGTGGAGGGACGTCTACGATTTCGATGTGCCTGTGTTACACGTCGATCGTTCTGAGACTGGAAAACTAGGAGACCCAGACCGGGACTTTGTGCCGACACTCGACGCGGCGAGGAAGCTCATGCACAGGTTCACGGTGCAGGAAGTGGAGAATGCGGTTGTCGAGGTTGAGCAGCAACAGCAACGAGGGTCAGGCTCAGACTCGGCCTCGGCCTCATCGTTATGATTTTCGCACTCTTTGCCTTTACAGAGGACCAATTCCTTTCTACTTCTCCTGCGTCACGAGATTCGCCGCCCCATATGCCGCGCCCTTGACGGCCTGGGCAGCCGCGTGCCCAAACGACCCCTTGGCCTTGGAGAGTGACTCTGCCATGAATACCGGCACCGCCGTCATGTCGTTCACCACCGAGATCTGCACCACAAAAGTCAGTCACTGGACACCCCATTCAATGGGAAAGGGGAGAAACGAACCATCTGGAATCCCATGTCGGCATACTGTCGCGCCACCTCGCCCGAGGGGCAGTATATGCCGGACTTTTTCCCGGCGTCTTGTGCCGCCTTTAATATTCTCGCAATCGCCGCTTTCAGTTCGGGGCTGAAGTCGCCTTTGACCGGGTATCCGATGTTGTTTCCCAAATCCCAGGGTCCGATGAAGAGCACGTCAATGCCGTCCACTTTTGCGATTTCTTCGACCTAAAAAGCGCCAAACCAGAAAGAAAAGAAGAAAAGTCAGTCTCTTTTCTTCTCGCTTCTATCCACAACAGGGACCAACAGTGTGGGAGGGAGGGTGGAAATTAACGCACACAGTCCAAAGCCTCTTTGGTCTCGATCTGCACAATGGTCAAGAGATTCTCGTTGGCGTTGTTCATGTAGTCGAACCCAGAAAGGTCGCCTGTGCCGTCGAACGCGCCCATGGAGAAGGGACTGCCGAAACCGCGTTTGCCGTACGGCGGGAACTTTGCCGTCTGCACCAACCTCTTGGCGTCGTCGGCGCTGTACAGCAAGGGCACGATGATGCCGTGGGCGCCGGCGTCGAGGGCGCGCTTGACCATCCAGCCCTCGTTGGCGGGGATGCGCACAATGGGGCTGACGTTGCACGCGGCAACGGCGTGGACCGACTCGTGCATCTCGTTGTCTATACATCCCCCGAACACACGGCGTTAGCCTCGCTGGTTTGTCTCGCCCTGAGTTGTTTACATTGCCCGCCTTGGGCCTATCGCCCGCCTAGGCAGTTGAAGGCGGCGACAAACTCACCCGCAATATTGCCATGCTCGCAATCAATGCAGATCCAGTCGAAGCCCGACCGTGCAATGGTCCGCGACAGGTGCGAGCCCGGCAGCATCTGCCACGCGCCGAACGAGAGGCCGGAGCCGGTATTCAGCGCCTTGCGCAGGGTATTTGCTTTTTGCATAATAGTGGCCATGACTGTGCTGGCGAGACTCTCGAGAGAGCGAGACGACACTGGAAGAAAAGTGTACGGTTTGACGGGGTATGTACAGGATCCAGGAAGGTATGTACTCGGTGCTTGTTGAGCGAGAAGCGAGAAGCGAGAATCGGAGCCGGGCAGTTATTCTCTTGTTCTTTTTTCTTTTTGATGACAAAAGTCAACACGAATAATACTACCGAGTATTAAGAAACCTGTGAAATAACACAAAAGAGAACAAGACAATACACACACTCTTTTTTTTTGGTCCTTTTGAACCCTGTCCTCAATTGATCAATTGATCAATCAATGATCCCTCGCGCCCTTTTACTACGAAGGCAGTTGTCGGCGAGCGACCCTTTTCCCCCCCACTTTCACTTTGATATGACGGCTTGTCGCCGTGAGGGGGTTATTTTCAGGGTGTGAGGTGTGGGGGGAGGGGACAGAGAGGGGGACTTTGGACGGGTAGATACGAGCAATTTTCACAGAGACAAGACAGAAGAGAGGGAGGGCGCGCGGGGGTTTGTACCGAGTATGTACATACCTGACCCCTTACTCGTCGGTATCTACTTTGTGACCTAGTACCAGAGGACCTAGTAGGGACGAGGTTCTCGGTGGGTGTTGTACCGAGAACGACAGACAGACAGAGGGACGGAAGCTCTAATACTACTACCACTAGGTCCTCGTTAACCTGTACCGAGTACATATGTAGGTACCCCTCAGCTCTCTCACTCTCCAGGTCCGACGGTACGGAAGCCGGAAAATACCAATCCCATCCCACCACATCACATCCCATCACATCCCATCCCAGAACCTCCTCGCGGGTAGCGTGGTAGCTTTCATCTCATCGTCTATTAGTTGTATGTACTTGTACTTGTACTTTGTTCTTGTACCTGTATTTATATTTGCACAGCAATTTTGTGTAGATTCTCCCACTCCTCAGTAATATTTGTTTGTTCATCTACAAAAAATGGCTAGAATTATCCTATCCTACCCTGCCCTGCCCTGCCAAACACCTACAGCTTACTGCTGCCGCTCTGCTGCTCCAACGCCTTGATCGCGTTGCGGTAGTTCTTGACCAGCTGCCGAATGGCCAGGTCGAGCATGACGTCCTCGCTGCCACCCGGGATCCTGGCGCCGGGGACCTCGCGGTAGATGCGCTCGGCGATCTCGCCCTGGCCCGTGCGCGTGTACCCATTGCCGCCGAATAGGAGCACGGCCGTCTGGGCGCACTCGTTGAAGACGATGCCGGCTTTGGCCTTGGCCAGCGCCGTCAGGCCGCCGAGCTTCACGTCCGCCTCGGCCTTGGGGAGCTGTGTCATCTGGTACAGGAACTGCTCGACCCAGGCCTGCATCGACTCGAGCTCCGCGGCCGCCTTGGCCAGCCGGTGCCGCACCACGGGCTGCTCGATCAGGGCCTTGCCAAACGCCTCGCGCTTCATGACGTACTCAAACGCCGCCGCCAGCGCCACGCGCGACTGTCTCGTCACGCCCACCGCGATGGTCAGCCGCTCGTGGTTGAAGTTGGTCATGACGTAGCGCATGCCCATGCCTTCCTCGCCGATGAGGTTCTCCACGGGCACCTTGACGTCGTCCAGCTCGATAAACGTCGTGCCGGCGCTGATTTGCCCGGCCACTTTGAGCCGACGCATCGTCACGCCCGGGTACCCTTTCAACGGGCACACGATCATGCTCAGACCTGAGGCGCCGGGACCGCCCGTCCGAACGGCCATGGCGGCGACGTCTGACCAGTATCCATTGGTGATCCATTTCTAGATATCATCTTCAATTAGCCCTCTTCTCTTTCCCCCCAAACACATTTTCCTTTTTTTTTTTTTGGTTGGCGAAGGGGGAAAATCCCCCCTCTCGCAAAGGGACTCGGTGGGATTGTAAATAAATACCTTTTGTCCATTGATAATGTAGTGTTTCCCATCTGCCGTCTTCTTCGCCGTTGTCTGGATGTTGGCCACGTCACTTCCGGCACTAGGCTCGGTGATGGCGATACATGCTCGCTTCTTGCCGGGGAGGAGGTCGTAGAGGAATTTCTCGTGCAGGGCCTTGTCGCCGAACTTGAGGATGGCAGGGATACCTGGCGGCAAAGGTCAGTCGACAGAGTGTCTCAAATCGCAGCACACCCCCGGGATCATGTGGATTCTCTCCCGGGGACTCGAATTTCTTTGGGGAAAAGGGGAGAAGGGCACAAAAAAAAAAGGTTACCCACCAAAAGCATGACCGGCAGTCATGGAGGAGCCTGGGCCGCAGACACCAGCTCGCGCCATCTCGTCCAGGTAGATGCCCGTGTGCAGGTAATCCCACTCCTCGATCGGGGTGCCCAGAATGTCGTGGATGCCCACTTTGTGCAGCCACTCGACGGGCAGCGGCGCCGGCAGGTTGGGGATCAGCATGTTGGCGTCGCGGAAGGTCACAAAGAGGTGGTCCGGCACCGTCTCCTCGCGCTCCCACTCCATGGCGTAGGGGAGGAGGTGCTCCTCCAGGAACGCCCGACATGCCTTTTGGAACCGCTTGTGCTTCTCCTGGTAGTAGGGCGAGGGCATGCCCGCGAGCCAGGGCGGTTCGGAGAGGGGGGTGATGACGTTCGACGACGACATGGTGTTTTTGTTGTGGAATTGGGTTTGGACGGAGGAGGAGGAATCGAGGGGAGGTGATGCTAAGGAATAAGCACGTTCGGGCCCCCCTTACAAGACGAACGAATACACGTAACAATCAGTCAATCACTAACAAAAGGTCGAAATACCTTTGTAGGTCCAGAGACTTCAAGGGAACATTATGTAGTTTTGACAGCTGCCCCAGATTTTTCTGACTCTCGTCTGCCCAGGCCCAGTAGTTGCAGCTGCGTGGTCGGCATCGAGGTAAATTCGAACTTGGGATGCCGAAAACGCATCCAGCCGACAGTTGCCTCGGGAATTTGAAACGAGGCTGGCCAAAGGACCCCGCGAGGGCACGTGACGAGGCTCTCCAGCCGTCAATGCCGAACAAACCACGAGGATCATCATCACCGAATGGATTATTCTCCAAGAAAATCAACGCCTCAATACATCGCTATCTCAAAACGCCTTGATAATCGTACAGCGTGAACCACATATCACATATTCCCGATCCCGTCCCGTGGCCAGCACCAACAAGAACATTCCGAGTCGCAGTTGAACCCACTAATACGGTGGAGATGGAGAAGCATCAACACCCACAACCTTCCTGTTCATCCTCTTGGCCGTCGTCCTCATGGTGAAGGAAAATTGGATGGCCTTCAAAATCTCTCGGAGGTCGACCACCGTTGCCCACGCCTTGACACCAAATCTCCCGCCGTAGTACTGGCCACCAGTCTCATGGGCCATGTGCCGGTGTTGGTTGAAGGACTCTTGACTGCCGTTCCTGCCCGTCAAGCCTTCCTGAGAAGACCTGGAATCGTCGATGTACTCTGGCGGGATCTCCGACAGTGGGAGCATCCGTGGCTTCGTGATGTCGTAGGGAGAAACATCGTACGAGTAGTGGAAATAGACGGAAAATGGCACCATCAGGATACAGGTGGTCATGGTTTCGATGCCAAAGTTGACGTCTGCGTAAGTCATGGTGGAACTCTCCTTCAGCACGCTGGTTGAGCGGAGAATGGTGAAAATGATCTAAGAGACGAGAGAGGCTGTTAGACAAATGATGACAAGGAGAAGGTATAGGACAACCAGCTACACATACCTCTTGGATGACGGACAAGCCGATGATGAGCTTGAAAGACAAGAACTTGGCCAGCGGCTTGTGGTGCTTCATGTCCTTTTTCAGCGCATTGTAGAATTTGATGCACGATGTAACGGCAATGAAGACGGAGATGTTGTGGATTATGGTAAGCTGCCCAGGAAACGGTTAGGCTGATCGACTTTGTGAGGCAGATTGCTCGCCGGATGACAAGTACTTACCCAGATATGGGAGAAGTGGATGTTGCTGCTCTCCAGACAATATTTGTTGAAGGCTTGAGTGATGTCTGTGGCGACAGCAACCCCTAGGGATATAACCACGTATTGGAAAACGACGACCCATCGTTTCTGTCCAAAGATCCATCAGCGTCCGGCCTTTCCTGCATATACTCCTCGGGTATATCAACGAGGACTTACCCTGTACCATTCTAACCCACTGCCGTGGGCATTGCGCCCCTTCTCGGCAGCTCTGCGAGACCGCGGAACTTCCAACGCGGCAAAGAAGACGTCGCGAAAATCCGGACTCGGTGAGACAAATTCGCAGAGCAAGAGGAAGAAACTCCCCAAGGCGATTGCTTCCCACACATCCGTCCACGGGTCGAGGTATGGGTATGCATTCGGGAACGCGATCCCGAGAAGCGACAACAGGCTGTTGAATGGAAGGAGGAGGCAAATTTTCAAGATCCTGTGATGGAGAAGTCTCAGTTTCTGTGTTGTTGGTTGCAGAAAAGCCCCGATGGGCATCAGACTCACTTGCTCTGCTCGTTGGGTTTACTGAAATGTGTGGCGTGTCTTGCCATGAGAATGGCCATAGACAGGCAAACAAATGCTGTACAGCCGCCCGAGAGGCACAGATTGAATTCTCTAAAGGAGAGGTTCCCAATAAATGGTTCTGAAGCATCTGAATTGCACCGTCAATAGAGGTAACTTCCTCGGTCTGCTCGTCTTCAACGTACCGGCTGTTAGGGGGTTGGGCATGCTGCACACGTTCGAGTCCCCATCGTCGTTGCTGGATAGGCCCATCTTTGCAATGTATCTTGTAGAGGTTGTTGTTCTTTGTACAAAAAGTTCTGATAGTCAATGGAACAGATGTTTCTTCGTGATGCTGGCTCAGAGTGCTGGAGGGACCAAGCCCGGACTCTCGAGCAATCTTTATACCATCCATTGAAGTTGATCGTCCTGCCAAAGTGCTTCAGAAGCCTCAAGTTGGTCTTTAGAATTTCAGGCCCTCCGTAACCTCTTTCGGGCAAGTGTACGAGGTCCACAATGCACTTGGTCGATCTGCGCTGTGAAAGGGGCAAGTCCCTACTGGCGATCTCCATCGCGAAGGTCGAATGGCATTGCTTTCAAGTATGCATGATGTCATATTTCGAGGCAATAGACGTCTCAAGCCTTGGAGCAGGCAATTATCGCGAAAGGTTTCATTCTTGCAATGCCCCTTCAGCCCCAGGAGCTTCAGCCTTGTGGCGCAGCTCGAAAAGACTACCGCATATAGACTAGCGCTGCACGAATGCTTCATCTCGCTCAAATCGGTGGCTCCGGACTTCCAACCTTCGGAAATCAGCCGGGCGACTTCAACTGGCTCAAATGGCTGTTCTGTCTGACCAGCCTGCTTTGCGTGAACCACAGGTGGTTCCGCGCATTCAATCGCAGAACCTCGTCTGACAGATGCCTACCGTTTCCACCTTACAAGCTTTTCGCCTAATCGGCTTCGTGCCACCGAGACTCCAATATTGCTCTGAGTGGGTTAAGGGCTTTGACCCTATTAACTGCTGTTCTTTTGTTGCTGCCTGCAAAAAGGGCCACTTCCACAGGCACGATTAATTGACCTTCGAGCAATAATGGACTCCGCTGAGCATGCGAGTAAAGTATACGCTTTGGGTGCATTTCGCGATGTGGCAATGGATAAAAACGTGTTCCTGGTCAGGTCGGGTGAAGTTGGCCGTGGTCAGAAGTCTTTTCGAGGCGTGAATGAGAAAAACTGTCTCTACGTTGTTTCCTTGTCCTCACCCTCGACATGCCGAACGTGGGGAGACCAAGTCGGGATTGCCATCTGTGCCGACAGAGGCGGGTGAAAGTGAGTATCGATTCGAATATGCTTTCCTGGACCTGCATTAATAAATCACCCGCAGTGTGATTTAGCCCAACCGGAATGCAACAGGTGTACACGTTTGGGGAGAAGCTGTCCAGGATATCGGGACGAATTTGACCTCGTGTTCCGCGTCCAAAGCCCTAGTTCATTCGCTCAGTCTGCGAACCGAGACCGCCGACGCAAGAGGATCAGTCCGCCATGCAGTTCCGGTCCCAAGAAGTCATCCTCGCATCGCCCAAACCACGAGGGGCCTGGGGATCGGCGTGAAAAGGACAATATGCCGCCTATGGAGATACTCGACCCAGGTGATATCAGCAACCTGTACACCTTTAGTTGAAAGCTAACATGTGTAGATGTCGTGGTTTTCTCTGGTTGGTATCTCTTTCCGACGCGCCAGTTGGCAGAATGCTGGGACAGTCATGCCTATACGCTAGCGTTCAGCAATCTCATCGGTCCTCAGAGACATAGCGCCACATCGGAGTTGGTCGACATCAATTTCCTGTCCGGCATGGTGTCTGAAGCAGGGCAAGACTCTTCCATCGTACTGGCCTGTCGTGCCATTGGCCATGCTTTCCTCACCCGCAACATAGACACGCCTGAGACACGATCCAAGCGAGCGGCGACATATGGACAGGCCTTGAAAGCGACAAATATGGCTCTCGAGCATCCAGTACTACAGACGCAAGACGAAACGCTGGCGTCTGTGTGGCTGCTAAGTCTTTATGAGGTAAGAACCGCCTTCTGTTCGTAGCTCTTGGGAATCCCCGCCACCAGGTGTCAAGATTCAAGTGGCTGTTGAAGCAATAGAAAAGACCGACGCTGACCATATCGCATCAGCTCATTGAATCACCAAGTCGAGGCCATCAACCTCTTGACAAGTCTCCACAGAGCCACGGCATCGGTTCCTGGATTGTCCATACCCAAGGAATGATGAGTTTGCTGCGGTTGCGAGGCACTTCGCATTTTAATACGCCCCTGGCACGGGATTTGTTCTGGCTGATTTACTATGCAATCGTGAGTGCTCGGTCCGGTTGACCATCCCATGGTCGCACGTTGCTGATAGAAACATTAGCAAGTCAGATGCTTCATCACCGACATGGCCAGCCCTTCTGAATCTTCGAGCTGGTTTCGGGAGCTGGAAAAGTGGCTGAATGAAGACGAACGGCACACCTATCGTCTCTGTGTGTATGGCCATCATGCGTCCACTCTCTGTGCGACCATCCAACAAACCATCACTCAATGGACAGCAAGTTCCCGCAGTGCAGCAATGGCAGTAATTGCGGAGGTCGAGGGCTTTGAGAGGGAAACGCAGCACTTGTGGCAGGCCTTCTATGACAGTCCGGGATCTGAAACTGTTGCTGACTCTGGTTTGAACACTGGGCTACTATGGTGGCGCACGTATCTCCATGCCTTTCGGTTGCAGCTCCAACTGACTCTGTTGGAGCTTTGGGACAAGATGCGAACCGAGAAGCTCGACGAAGAGACAAGGACCTTGGAGAATGAATTTCAGCGTAGGGTTGAGGTTGTCCAAGGCGCAGCAGATAAAATCCTCGCGTGTCTCCCCCTACTACTTTCAACGGACGGTCCTTCAGGCGCCTCTCCAAGACTAACAACAAGATTTTGGAGGGACGGAGTCCGCCTACTTTGGCCCTTGAGGCTCGTGGCACTGGGCGACGCGACCAGGGACGACCAGAAGAGGCTGGCCTGCGCAACACTTCAACAGATTAGAGACGAGGTGGGAATCAACCCGCCAGGAGCATTTCCTCTGCCCGTCTTAGCCGAGTTGGTCACAAGAGAGACCCAACTGTAGTAGCATACCCAAGATATTCGAAAGAGGGCAGTGATGTTTCTTACCATTCCTACGCCGCGGTTGAACCCTCGAGATCTTCGTTGGTGTGTAGCATCATGCGACGTAGAGAATCCAAGGCATGTCATGGTACACAGACCACCGATTTAAGGCGTGCCAGGCCACGACTGTGGCTGATGCTTGTGACGATCGTTTGGCGAATCTCGAGACTATTTCCGGAAAAGGGAATCAGCACGAACCAATGACCTCCCGCCTCCTTAACGGAGATCAGTTGTCGTTCTCGGGTCCGAGTGTCATGCATATCGCTGGACAATCGGTTGCTATACTCGTCGGCCTCCTCGTAGTTATCGGCCGCCTACTATGGTCTTCAGTGCCAGACTTCTGCTTCAAAGGGCCAGGAGTGTGGGTTGCTCTCAAACTCCAATTTCCATTATCAGTATATCGTACAAATCAGGCTGTCCGCATCCTCATGTATTCGTCGCTGCAGCTGGTGCAGTATTCGTTATACCAGCCTTTGAGGTCATTCTCAGCGTCCGTGTAGTTCTGCTCCAGGTCATTCAATACCAGTCCCTCCACGACCTGACATCGACGATGCTCATCCACAACCCACTGTTCCCAGGCCGCCTGCACGATTTGTTTCTCAATGCTGTTGACGACACGCACGGCCACAAGAAGATCGTGCCGTTGAGTGCCCAGTCGTTGACGTGTTTGCTGCACTGTCGCGGCTGGAGTCTGGCTCAGCCCTGCTTGAAAGTACTCCGGGTCATTTTCATCATAAAAGACACGGTAGCAAGCGCTGGAGTCCCGTGCTGGCAGATTCGCTTCTCGGCTGAGAATGTCGTCCAAGTCACTGATGTACACCGCCCTGCTCATAACAGTGTTCGGCGAGATACCAAGGCGAGCCATGAAGTTTCCAGCTCTGCGTTCATGCCACCAGTCAAGCGAGTCCCGATAGGCATGCCAACCATTGTACAGTGCCGAAAGAACAAGAGCCACCAATACGAGTTTGTTAGTAGAGATCATCTTCATGGACCATCTCAGGATACTCAGCAACGACTGCAGTAGAGTTCCCAAGGCGCTCTCCAGCGTAGAGGCAGTGCTTTGGGCCAATAGTCCAGTCATGGTCCGGGAAACAGGCTGTCTCCTCAGTTCAATGTTGAGCGCTGACGCCTCCACTAGAAGTTGGGTGGTTTCGGTCGAATGGCCAACTTGGCCGAAGATCTGAATTGCCTTTTTGGTGCGACTGTGGAGGCCGAGCTTGCGAACTTGATCCGCCACCAAATCCGCGAGATCTTGAGAATCGAGTTCAAGATCATACAGCGCCTGTCGCTCAACCACTCCTCCCAGCATCCAGGCGGTGCGCAGCCACTCTATCTTGACAAAAACTGCGAGTTTACATCTGGCTTTTGCAACGTGAGTGATGACAATCTTGCTAACGAGGCGATGGTTGTGTTGGTAGGGGAGATGCCATGGGGTTCGCTTGTCTGTAATGACATAGCACAAGTGGTCACTATTGACATCGATGGTCTGGTAGTCATTAACTCGTGTAAAAGATTCTTGACCCAGCATGTTTTTGGTGGGAATGTCGAAAGTGAACTCTCGTCGAAGCCGTCCTTCTCCAACATTCAACCACGGCCCTTGGGTCACATTTTTCGCGCGCCTCTCATGTTGAAGCAATTGCCACAAAGCGCTCTTATCTCCAAACATGACATGGAATAATGCCTTAGCGCTGATGTCAAACTCCTTCTCGACGGCTAGTCGCAGATTTCCTGGGGGCGTATAAATCACCGGTTGGGCGGGCAATTTGAACTTCGATTCCCTCCGGCCTAGTTGAGTGTGATGTAAAGCACGGTCAACTCGCAGTGGGCCTCGTATTTCAGTTCCGATAGTTGACGCTCTACCACGATATCGGGGCCCACCCGTATCGACAGGCGTGTTTGGGGACACATCTTCCCAGCTTTCCAGACTGGGGCTCCTGTCAGGGCTCTCGGTCTCCATTTTGATCAGAGCCTTCATTAGCCCCTCCAAGTCGAGAGGCTCGTCGGAAGCACTATTTCTTATCAAAAAGTTCAAGCGCCTTTGCAGAAGTCTCAACGGCTCGAGAAATGTTTTGATTGTGATGCGTCGGTTAGCGGCGTCGCTTGCGGCATCCTTGAGATGCAGGAAGATAAAGTCACAGTCTCGTCCGGGAGCAGCAGTGGCCTCGTCAATGGATCCAAGAGGCACACACGACGTCAGGACCAAGCCTAGGTGGTTGCTGTAGAAGTAGATGTCCCTGGAAGTCACGTAGACTCGGCCGGGGAATTCTTGTTGTTCACCTGGGTTCCAGGTCGCCCTAAACACCATGACTAGTCTGTCGTCGCGTTTCACATTTGGAAACAGAAGGCGGAACTGTGCGTCCTGAGACTTGAGCTGCAAAGGATAATAGTTGGGGAAGTCAGGCACGAGTAGGTCGGTATTGAAGTGTCTCGCAGTATCTCGATCCACACTTATAGTGCTCCTGTGCTGTTTCTTACTTGGCGAGGGAGTTCTGCTTCGAGTGCCTCCCATTTGGGGCACACTTAAGTCAAGGTGTGGAATACTATTTTGGAGGGGAACAGCCGGCCGAGTAGGCGTAGCGGATGCTTTTGGAAGAGAAAATGATGGTTGAAGCGTCGGGGTCCGCTGCGCTAGGAGTTTGACTTCGGCCTTATCATTTGGGCCAGTCCGTTCAAGTCGGTTCAAAAAGGCTGTACAGGACGTCCCCCAGGTGTTGACCACAAGCCCCGTAGGAAGTCCAGTCTTGTCCGGGGCAGGACTCAGACCACGCTCTCCGGTAATGATCACTGCCGACTTGCTCAGGTTGGTAGGAGATGGTACCGCAGCCAACGTCGAAGGTGCAAGACTGCTGGCAGGCATGTCTCGAAGGGCCAAAGTAAATGCACTTCGTGGCCTAGAGAACTCGCCGTCGGCATTTTGGAGCAACGGAGTACTTCCACCGATAGGCATGGGACCATGAGTGGCGGCAATCAAGCCTGCAATACCAACGGGGAGATTTGGTGTCGATGGGCTGGCGGATACCTGGGTTGGAGCTGGACTCTTTCTGTGTAAATCGAGCTTAGAAATGATGCGAGAGGCAGTATCACGATGGCCGCCTTCATCAAAGGCTGTTGACCTCCTAGGTAAGTCCATACTGCTCTCACGTCCATGTTCGGTCCCTGGAATCGGTAAGGTGTGGGTCTTTTCCAGCGCGGCGATATCCTCTCCAACAGCACCCGGCTCCGTCGACCCAAGGATGAAAGTACCAAATTCGGGAATTGGTGGCGCGCTTATTGCAAATGCTGCACCAGCTTGAATATTCCCAGTACCAGAAGTGAAGCCGCGGATTCCATCACCATCATCCACCGCCCTGGATTTGGCAATGTGAAAGGCGTCAATCCACTCCACAAGCTCTGACTGGGTTTCTGCTTGAAGGAGGATCGTATTCTTGTTGGTCTTAAGCTCGAAACAGAAGCGACGTTCTTCTGCCGGGGCGGGGCGCACATTGCATAGCAGAACACCAATTCTCTCACTCTCCTCAACACCTCCTGCTCTCGTGCCTTGCAGCAGCCAGCCGAAGACTCCATTTCGAACGAATGCCCACCTCTTTACCCAGACAGTTCGCGTTGGTTTCCCACTGTAGGTTCGGAGGAACAGCCAGCCTTGCTTCTCACCGGTTTGGGACGTGGGCTTTTTGGGTGAGCGTTGAAGGGTTGAAGTGCTGGCGCTATGGCCATGACCAGCAAATGGAGGAACAGTCGACAAAGTGTAATCCTCCAACTCTCGTGAAGGCCGGGTTTCAAGCTCGGCGGCATCCTCCAGCTGTTTCTTCGCCATCATGAGCTCTCTGCGGAATGTTTTTTCATTGGCCTCCAATTCCGAGAGCCAGCCCTTAATCCTCTGCATCTCCTCAGCGCTCCGTTGGAATGTCGCGGCTGTATTGTCACGCGAGAGTCGCATCTCACGCCATTGCTCAAAGAAGACCTTGACCAGGAGCTTATCCAGAGCAAATCGAAACTGTGGTGCCATACTGGAGAAGTCCATGATCGCCTTGATGTAGAGCTTGCGGGCTTCATGCAATTGAAAGGCTTCCTCTCTGAGCGATGAAGGTTCTTTCGATTTGCCCAACCCAGCATATTTTCCTTGCAGATGTTCAAAGGTTTTCTGAGTAGCCTCTACCGTTCGGCGCGCATCTTTGAAAGCCCGCAAGTCATTCTGAAGGAATTGTCTTATGGGATCAATCACCATAGTAGATAATCTCTTGACCACTGCTATCATGCTCATCCAATAATCTTTGGCGCCGTCAGCGAACTTTTTCATAGCCAGGATGCTGTAGTCATGATCCAGCATTGACTCGGAGATGTTCACGGGCAGAACGGCGTGGGCTATGAAGTTGTTGAGGACATTTTCTAGGGTCAGGGCTTCGGAAACGAGTCTCGTGGAGGCTTTGGCATAGTCGTCGAGCCATTTCTCAAGGAGATCGACTTGCTCTCCATAGTGAACAACGGTGGCGCGGGCGGTGGGCGAATCGATCGCAGCTTCCTTCAAACCGACAGGAATCAGATTGATCAGTCTTCCCACGTCATCGACGGGCGGCGGTGCCTGCGCCATTTGGGACGTGCGGAGGCGCGGAACTTGGGGTGGAAGAATCAGGAGTTGGATTGAATCATGTATGGGCCTTCATTTCTGCAAAAGCGAGCCTGACAGAGACCGGCCTCGAGGATAGCGAACCAACGAAGAGGGAGGCGAGTACCGTGTAAGGCAGAGTAAGTTGATTCAGGAAGATCGTGCGGTGAATAATGTTGCTAGAGAAGTGGTAGCAGTAGGGTACGTAGGCTGGTAGGTAATCGATACAATCGCGTCTCCAAGAAACCAAAGTCGCGAACCCTGCGTATACTCACTCGTACATGATGTGGAGGTCGAGGTACATACTCCGGATCTTACTATCTCGCAGGCGCCTGCGTAGGCATCCGCCACGCCAATTATTACTACAGATGTAGGTACCCGATGGGTACCAACGCTGCAACGGTCCCCAAGCCACTCGGTATACCTGCCTAATACCCGTCTGTTTCTCCTCCATCCAGGCTTATCTGGGTCTGGGCATGCGGAGAAATTTTTGAGAATTGAAAGGCCAATCCGACAAAATTCACCCCCGGACAGAAGAACAGTTTCCGTCTTTCTGAGCATATGTGTCTCACAAACCATGGCTCGTGAATTGCTTAGTAGCGACTCCTCGTCCGACAGCGAGGATGGTGGTGCCGATGTCCCACAAAGCGGCGAACTCAAGGTCAACGAGGCGTATGCGCGCCGATTTGAACACAACAAGAAACGAGAGGAACTACAGAGATGTATGGACTTTTCTCCCTCCTACTGATGAGAACATATTGAGACTGATCTTTTGTACAGTAGAGGAGAAGCTGGGCAAATCTTCCAGCTCACGAAAGCGTAAGCGAGGTGAAGTCGAATCTCCCTCCCGCGACGACGAAAGTTCTGCCTCGGACGATGACTCGACCAGCGAGTCTGAAGATGAAGGGGAGCTGGCCACAGAAGCCCTTGATTCAGAGATCATGGCTACCCTCAACGCAATTCGTTCGAAAGATCCCCGTGTTTATGACAAGAACGTCACGTTTTATACCAACAATAACGACGAGGGCGACGCAACTACGAAGACCAGAAAGGAGAAGCCGATGCACCTTCAAGATTACCACAGGCAGACCTTACTGAATGGTGGTGTCCAGCCGGAAGAAGAAGATCCTGTCCCTCTGACATACAACCAAGAGCAAGAGCAGCTAAAGAAGTCCATCATCGGAGAGATCAACGCTGCCGCAGAGCACGAGGATGACGAGGACGAAGAAGAGGAACATCAGTTTCTCAGCGCGAAGAGAAGGGAAAAGCTACCTAGATCTGAGGTTGCTTTGGACGTGGAAAGCGCGGAAAAGGATCCTGAAACTTTCTTGTCAAACTTCATGGCCTCTCGGGCTTGGGCGGCTCCGGACCCTTCTAATCTGCACCCTTTCGAGTCGGACGACGATGAAGAAGACAAGAGAGCAGATGAGTTTGAAGAGGCATACAATCTGCGATTCGAGGACCCTGAGAAATCAAACGAGACTCTGCGCTCTCATGCGAGAGACTTGGCTGCCAAATACTCTGTTCGGAGACAAGAGGCGAATCCGCGACAAAAGAAGCGAGAAGCAGAGAAGGCGAAGAAAGAAGCTGAAAAGCAGCAGCGAAAGGAAGAAAAAGCCCGTCTTCGCAAGTTAAAAATTGAAGAGCTTGAAGAGAAGGTGCGTAGAATTAAGCGGGCTGCCGGTATCAAGACTCAGGACTTGCGGCCAGAGGATTGGGCGCACTTGGTTGACGACGATTGGGATGACACCAAATGGGAGGAGATGATGCAGAAACGGTTTGGCGATGAATACTACGCAGAGGAAGATCTCCCGAGCGACGACGACACGGGTGGAAAAAAGCGGAAACCTCGAAAGCCCAAATTTGACGATGACCTAGACATCAAGGACATAGTGCCTGATTTCGAAGAAAACGATAAAGCAGACTTCAGTCTCACTGATGAAGAACCTCTTCCAAAGAAGGCGAAGAAAGTCAAGCGGTCTGTGGAAGAGAGCAAGCGGGACACAAAGAAAGAACGACGGATCATTGAACAACTAGTGGCTGATCAACTTCAATTGGAGCTCGACGCATCCTTGCCCAACAAGAAGACTGGTGGATTCACATACCGTGAGACATCTCCCAAGAGCTTTGGTCTTACTGCAAGAGATATATTGCTAGCCGATGACAAGAAATTGAATGAGTTTGTCGGGCTCAAGAAACTGGCATCATTCCGCGATCCAGAGAAGAAGCGCAAGGACCTGAAGAATCTGGGGAAGAAAGCACGGTTGAGGAAGTGGCGGTTGGACACCTTTGGCAACGAGGAAGGATTGCAGGCAAGCAATTTGATTCCTGCGCAACCTGAGGCCGGTCAAGACAGGGATGAAGGAGATGAAGCTGCAGTAGACATCAGGACAGAGGGAGCCAAGAAAAAGAAGAGAAGGAGGAACAAGAAGTCGAAGACAGAAGTCGATACTGTTGCTTGATTATTGTGGAGGTGTATACCAAGTATGGAGCCTTTTGAACTCCTGGACCTCGGAAGGAAAAGGGGAAGCAAACTTAGGTCAGGGTGAGCGACGCCCCCTCAGCCTTGCCACCATTTCTTGTGATGGATGTACTCGGTAGATCAGGTTCACATGCCCTTAGTGGGACCCCTCATGTGTCGGTATTCGATGTCCTCAATGTTTCCCATGACCGACATAGGTGTGTTCAGTACCCCCTTTTTCAGGCAGGGAGCGTGTTCAAAAAGATTACAAAACCCTCCACTCGTATTCGTACCTGTTAAAGAGCCTCATGCGGCCCAGTTAAGGTTCTCTGGAGATCTCTGGAGAAGCTGTGGATCGATGAGGGAGCAAGACTGCTTTCCGGAAAAATGGGCGGAAGAATGGGCGATATTTTGAGAAAGTAACTACTTTGGTTGAGTGCGATGGTCTTGTAGGCAACCGAAGGAGCCGTCCAGTGGCTGATCAGAGCCTGACACCATCCCCCGGGCAAGCGCGATAGGGGCCACGGGCGAGCCGGTTGCTGTGCAGAGAGTGATCTTTTTTTCCCTCAGCGGAGACAAAATTTTGATTGCGGACGATAATTGCCCGGGGCGGACAGTGCTGAGATTTCGCTGGTCGCTCGGGAAAAGTGCACACAAGCACCTCGCATTGACGGTTGTGCTGAGGGAGATCCGGGCCTTACCATATTAGGTTTAGCACGAGTCGAGCTCCCAATCCCTTTGAAAAATACCTGTCCGCTTCTAAACTTCCTCCATCTTTCTTTTTCGCATCTTCGCATCTTTTTCTTGCGTCCACCCATCACTGCCCTTCCTTCTCTCCTCTCAATCATAGTCCTTAGTTCTTCATAACCACCGTCAAGATGGCCAAAGGGTTAGTTCACACTCTATCCGCTGTCGATTCGTGCTGTTCTGCAGCAGTTATCGTTACCGAGCGGCCTCCTTGAGCTGCACGGACTGCCTCCGAGCACACTTCCAGCCGAACTTGTGCATACTGATGCTGACTCCTGCCATCTAGAGAAGTGGACCAAGGGTCCAAGACGATATGGGGCATGCCCGGTAAGACCTCACTGTCATTGATGTCGACGTCCAGGACTCGACGAGCTCTGGGCCTCGCCTCGACGATTCGATCATCAGAAGCCGCGGTCAATCGGAACTAATTGTGGACCCTAGGTTTCGTCGTCGACTTTTTGATGGGTGGTGTTTCTGCCGCTGTCTCGGTGAGTAACTCTCCAGTTCCGGTAGACAGTGAATGTGAACCGTAAAGCTGACAAATTTTGCTAGAAAACTGCCGCTGCTCCCATTGAGCGTGTCAAGCTCTTGATCCAGAATCAGGTATGTGTACCTGCTCCACCCCCATCGAACACATCTGCATGAGGCATACGAAACCCTCTGCCATGCCCAACAGATCCCCCAGACAATATGCCCAGAAAAATTTTCTTATCAATACCCGTTGATATGATGACCACACTCAAATTGACCATACCGAGCATAACCACTTACACCGTGACGTATAGGATGAAATGCTTAAAGCCGGTCGTCTTGACCGCAAATACACCGGTATCGTCGACTGCTTCAGCAGAACCATGAAGAGCGAGGGTGTTATGGCTCTGTGGAGAGGTAACACTGCCAACGTTATCCGATACTTCCCTACCCAGGCGCTCAACTTCGCCTTCCGTGATACCTACAAGTCGATGTTCGCCTTCAAGAAGGAGCGCGATGGATACTGGAAGTGGATGGCCGGTAACTTGGCCTCGGGTGGTGCTGCTGGTGCCACTTCCCTCCTCTTCGTCTACTCCCTCGATTATGCTCGGTATGTCTCACACCCCACACAAACACCCTTCCAGTATGCTGATACAGATATTCACAGTACCCGTCTTGCCAACGATGCCAAGTCTGCTTCTAAGGGTGGTGAGCGTCAATTCAACGGTCTCGTCGATGTCTACCGCAAGACCCTGGCTTCCGATGGTATTGCCGGTCTCTACCGTGGTTTCGGTCCTTCGGTCCTTGGTATAATCGTCTACCGTGGTCTGTACTTCGGCATGTACGACTCCATCAAGCCTGTTCTCTTGGTCGGTCCTCTTGAGGGTAACTTCTTGGCCTCTTTCTTGCTCGGCTGGGGTGTCACCACTGGTGCCGGTATCGCTTCCTACCCTCTTGATACCATCCGTCGTCGCATGATGATGACGTCCGGCGAGGTAAGTTTACCACCGGTTACAGCTGCAGGATCCGCACTTCTCTAACCACATAACACAGGCTGTCAAATACAAGAGCTCTTTCGATGCTGCCCAGAAGATCATGGCTGCCGAGGGTGTCCGGTCCTTCTTCAAGGGTGCTGGTGCCAACATTCTCCGTGGTGTCGCTGGTGCCGGTGTGCTCTCCATCTACGACCGTATGTTTCAACCCGCTCTCATCGATGCATCTCTTGTGCTAACAAATTTTGCAGAGGTCCAACTTCTCATGTTCGGCAAGAAGTTCAAGGGCGGTTCTGGCTAAGCGCCTCGTCACT